AAATGGTTGTCTCTGAACTATTAAACTAGGTACCTTACCTGCTTTAGTACAATTACATAGCAATTCATTAAACATGACTATGTCTATAGCAGTTGTGTTTAAATTCCTAATGAGTGACGAAGTGAGCTATCTGAATAACGAGAATACACATGGGAGAATTCCAACAAAGTAGCATGCGTTACCCATGCAGAGAATTCCAAAAAACAAACGGTTGTCGCGCGTGCTTTGATTTGAATTCCTAATTTAGAAAACAATCAACCGTTCACGTAAATGCTGCCTTTATTACAACTTCTTTATTATGAAAATAGTGTCAATTACCATTCGATTGAGTAGCCACTACATTAATGAACCATTTATAGGTAATAGGTACTAATAGTGTAGGTTTAATGTTACATAAATCGCCGACAATGTATTGAAGATCGTTGAACTTAGATAATAACAGTGGTGCCAAAATACCTAGTTCATCAGTATCAGATACGTGGAAACTAGGAAGAGATTCACCGACCAAGAAACAGAAAATGTATTTACAATAAACAATGAAAATGCGTTTAGTGTTATGAACATGGTACACTCTCCGGGCTTTAAATCTATTTGTGGCCATTGACCCGTGAAATTCAGAGACGTGTCTGTTACTACCGTCTTATATTATCATCATCTATGCTTATCTTTTGTTTCTCAACGTCTTGCAACACTTCTCCCGTTATAAAAGCATGTATGAGCTCGACATTTCTTGAAACTAATGTGTTATGTTCAGAATTTTTCAATTCCAAAGCACACATAAATACTTAGGTTGGTAGGTACTTATTTTATATCATTTGCTCATCGGTCATTCTTATTAAATGTTTGTAATTAGTTACTTATTAAATAGATGGTGGTTTCAAAATTCTACGTAGTAATAATAATCTAATTGTGTACTTAGTTCAAGTTTGTGGAATAAGTAGATACCTGCCTACTTCCTTGTGGAACCATTGTGCTCAACAATGCAGCTACCTCGCCCTCACACATGTAAGAAGCACCTACCTATACTTTGTTAGTATAGTTGCATAGAGAGACATAGATAATGGCGCGCGTATGTTTCTGGAATGTTTGGAATACCCAGATACCAAAACATGGCTTCTCAAATTAAAACGTAGGTTAGCCGTTGACGATAAATAAGTAGTCGTATATGGCTGCGAGTTATTTGAGGCACATCCAAATTAATTGCGTGTTAACAACAACACCACATGAGGATGGATATGTACCTATGTTTATATGGCAACAAGCGGCCTTATTTCAACGGTTTGTATTTGAATTTGAATTAAAAAGTCGTTGATATTCGTTCACAAAACAAAATGTTCATTTGGTGTTCATTAGTTGAGCGTTATTTTGAATGCGGATTAACACGTGAATACAATTACTAGTTTACTACTGGTTGATAAAGTTTTTTCATAGCTATTGAATGTCATTTGTAAAGTTAAAATATTGGAAAAAAGCTTAGCGGTTTTCTTTAATTTTCGGTTCGGTTTTGTTTAATTTTAAACTACTATGATGTAGTGTTTATTTTTCAATTATGAGTAGTTACAGACATTTTAGAGTCCTACACACTGTACTATTGTGTCAAAAGGCGAAATACAACTAAACTTATCAAACCAATTATTTCGTCATATTGCTTTTGTGGGTTTTCTTCTTTCGACATTTAATTACTTATTTGCTGACCGTTATAAACGGAAACAACATGATTAATTGTCTCCGTTTGTCTGTAGTCTGAAAATATTTATTGCTCATATTATTATGAATGCGAACAAAGAATGATTCGGCGTCGCTACTAAGGATTAAGAGACAAATTAACTACTACTTGTATGTGTGGTTAATGAATGAGTAACTATAGTTAATAAAAATAGCTCATGGTTATGTTGCGTGTCAATCTGCCATTCTGTTTGTCGACGGTTTTTTATTCCGCGCATTTAACGCCAGTACTTTACAACAACATAAATTAATATTATGTAATAAGGCAAAAAAGAAGCTAAATTGTTAAAATAGTATACTATAATGACTCGGTTTACGCTGTGTTTACATTGGCCAGCACTATTTTAGTGTAGAATCAAAATAGAAAGAATAATAATGAAAGTCGACGGACGCTACCACGCCGATCACCCAAAAATGCGCATAGTGACTAAATAGACAGTTTTTAAAGATCAATAAGATGTGATTTATCTATTTTGATCATACATATTCAAATTAAAACATTGTTACTTGTCATTATGTAAATGTAGGTAGGTAAGCAGTTAAAAACAATTATTAGGTACTTGGTAACGAACACAGTTTAATTACTTAACACAGTTTAATATTTCCAAAAGATATGTATTGGTGTTTGAACTTAAGCTGACAAACTAAGTATCATTTTAAAGAGAAAATTAATACTGATCTGTAGGTTACACTATTGCTAGACGTGGACAGTGCTGGTCACGTTAAGCTTCAACTATGCACTTCAGAGTAGACAGATCCATATCAATGTTCTACATTGCGCATTAAAGCCTATGAGACGCTTAGCCCAGGGATTCAGCGTAAATTCGTTAGGTACACCTAGTTCTAACAGAAGAAATTTGACAAGTTCGTTGGCAATTTAGAAAACTGCTTTAAATGATTCATTATTTTCGGAACCCGAAAACGTTAGTGCACCTTTATCCTATTCTGTAATACCAGGCGTGACTCATCACGCCTATGTTCTGTTCGAACATATTTGTAAATAAACTTTGTTTTCAGTTTTATCAAGGCTGATAAACAAAATTGAGCGTTATCTTCGGAGTTATTTATTTTTATCGAAGCGAGTATTTTATATACTTATTTATACTTTTAGTAAAGTCACATTTAGGCTACTGCTAATGATAACAAAAACCTCGCATATAGAGTACTATAGTTTATGTTATTCATGCATCTTACTCTCATTGAGACTTAGTCATGCTTTTTTTACTGAAGTTGACTCACACTAGAGTAGGTAATAGGTTGGTCTTTAATATGTCTATGAGTAAAATATTTATTGCAGGTAAGTACGCTTTGAATCGAATATAATTTATCCTATGTATTAAAAATTGTGCAAAAGTATATGGACATTTTACTCTGTAGAAGATATAGTTGTATTGGAGTCACGGTCGTGACCTTCGAGCGTCGAAAGGCCAATGTTCTGCGGTGTTTGTGTAAAATCTAGCATTCAAACTGAACCAGGCGTCCTCGCCCACGCGACGCTCGTTGCTAGACCATTTAAGAGTTTAGTATGAACAAGCTTCAAGTGGAGAATGTAGGGATATGTATGATAAGCAAAGGAAAGCAATGAAATGTAGAGAAATGTCAAAACTGGAGGGTTAGTATCTCGCTCCGACCAGCGAATGGGTTGATTGGATACTTATCGGTTTTCATGTTTTTATGTGAACATTGGTTAGGTAATTTAGGTGTTACTAACTTTAAACAATTGATTGTTATCGTAATTTATTACCTTGAGAAAAATAATTAATCCGTACAGCGAGTAGGTAATTAAAGGTATAAATGAATCATTCCTACAGATGACTGAGAGTATTCTTGCAGCTGCAGTACAGTCTATTACTTTATTAATTACTATAGGTAGGTACCTACCTACTTAGGTATCTACATAATCGCATTGATTATGCTGTTGTCGCCTCGTCATACTTAAGCTTATTAATATGTCTTTAGCATCTTCTATTATTATTTAATGAATCGTAGAGACAGATTTATTATGTATTTAAATTAAGTTCTATTTCAGTATTTAATAGTCATCCTAACATTTCACTTTGCGCGGTGCACCATAAACTTAGGTCGTCAAAGGATTTGGTCGCAGCAGTCATTAGTAAGACCGTTTTTATAAAGGTTTTAGGGAAAATGATTATTTGGCAAATTGAATCTGAAGTGTGAAGTGATTGAGTGCTTCGTTCTTAGTATCGCGTTAATTACCAATTATTGATCAGAGTAACGGAAATATCATGTGTCATCGAAATCACCTCGTAAGATTCCAAGTTTAGTATGCATTCATAAAAGGTTAGACACACCATTTTGGCTAGTAGTCGTAAACAGAGTTACGTTTAAATAGGTTCGTTGCCCGGCCGCTGTATCGACCCGTGACGTCACGAACGGCGTGCTCCTAAAAGCCGCTCCGTGCGATGTGGATGGGGTACCCCAATGTTCGTGACACCCGTTTTTACGCATTAACTGCGTAGAAAGTCACGAATGAACTTATTAATTATAATACATATATTTAAAAAACACGTATGAATGTATTAATTTTTCGGTGCATACTTTTTGACTTCTTAAAAATAGATTTTATGAATCGAATTCTTCTTCGTATCCTTCTTTCTGATATTTTTATCGTAGAAATACCGCTACTAACTAGTTTCGCTAAGGACCGATCTGCCGACTTTTCTTTCAATCATCAGCTATTTCTTAATAGGGTAGACGACTAATTTTTATTTTGTCCGTCTGGTAGATTATTTAAAAACATTAGACACGTATTTTTTATTTTCTTACGGAAACGAATAGTTTCGAAGATATATTGATTTGAAATGTCGCGTGACGTCACTTCTCAGTACATTTTATACTAAGAAATGACGTTTTAGCCCCCACTCCTAAACTTTGATTCGTTTTATCTAAGTATTGTTTTATTATACAACAAAATAAAAAAATACGTGTCTAATATTTTTTTATTACCTAAGTTACGGACTAATTATATTTTTAATTTTCATACCCTATCATCATCCCCATTGTGGAATAAAATTGACATTTGACAGTTTTTATTATGGAATTGTCAAATATTCAAAATTTATTCCGCAATAAAAATTTACCTGGCGTTGGAGAAGTCGGACCTTAGTTGGAAGTCCTTTGAACTGAATTCTTAACCAGCCTAGAGTCCCTTTGCAAACCAGAAGTTTAGCCTAACAACTATTTAGGTACCGCAAAATGGTCCGTTCTTTGTTAAAATTACCGTTTTTAGATATATTATAAACAACTGAACTCACCTATAGCGGCCAGTGCCACGAGGGCAGTGAATCCAATAAACGACATGTTTTCACACTTGGACACTTCACAGATCACTATAGTTTCTTGCACTCACAATCGAAAAAAAAATTAAAAGATCGTTGTGCCGCTGTGCGGCTGGGCTCCGCCCGAATCTGAAACAAATTAGGGAAACAGTTAAAATAATTTTAAGTTAATTTCAAATGGGATGGCGAGCAATTTTCTCAATAATATTGCACATTCGATGGTCGGTACTTAAGATAAAGTAGCACTATATTTCGAATGAAATAAAAAGTTTGAAAGTCAATTCGAGAGCGTCTACCTCCGAATTAGTTGAAAATAACGGTATTTAAATTTAATTTTATTGCTTCTGTAAAAGCTTCCTTCCTGAAGTTTAATCGACAGAATGATTGTTTGAACTAAGGTCCAATACTCCCCGAATAATGTTTTCTTAATAGAGTAGGTAGATGGGAAGTATCTAGTTATTAATAAAAACACAATGGCTTATATTTTCTTCATGCAAATACAATTGGGTAAGCTTCATTCAACACAGTTCATTACGGAAAAGAAACAAGACAATGTCGCCCTATGTAGGGTAAGCGTTATGCCAAATAGGGAATGACAATCTATTGTGAGTCAGGCGATATTTGTCATGTCAAGGTTAACTCGACAACATATAACGTTCCAACTTTAATACACTGCTTTTATTAGATACGTATTTAAAAACTACCTTGTGGTCATATCCAGTAAAACTGACTGTGTCAGACTCTCTACTGACTCGGAATGTCCAGTCGTGCATGCACGCAATGTCTGATTTTCATTGCGTTGTGAAACGAAAAAAAAATTCTTTTTACACTTTTAACCTAAATATGCGGTAATCTTCTTACAAAATTAAAAAACTACCAGGTTTCACGATGACTGGGGGCAAAAAACAGGGCGGAACTACGGTCAGCAGTGGCGTGCAGTCCATATAGGCAAAAAGGCTTTGCCTACCTTACAAATACCGTGAATAACACTACGTAATAAAAGATATAAACATTTTAATTTTACTACAGAATACTAAAATAATAATTATAATAAAATTAGTGAACGCCTAAAATAAATAGTATAGCAACAATGATGGCGCGCGATACGTGTTGCATTTCGCCAGGCGTACCGTATATAGCTGTAAACATTAACGCGCGAGGCAGGCACGCGGTTCCGTCGCCTGCAAACCATTCATAAATTTAAGCGTGTAGTGGTGAACGTCATTGTGTGCGTAGTGCACAGACGCGTTTATTTTATCGTCGCGAAGCTTGCCTGCAGGCACGGCCTGACGACTCGTGATTGAGTTCGCCGCGTGCCGACCAATCACGTTCCGTGTCTTGGTTTACTCATTGGTCGCCTCGCAGCGAACTTCACGCCGCTCGCGCGTGACAATTTTTTTGTTTTTGTTTACGTGCGATGCGTGGATTTTCGGATAATTTTGTTATTTGATTTAGAATACGATTAGTAATTCTACGCAAATAATTTGTAGTAAACGGTATAAAATTGTCTATTTATATAAGTACATTTTATTACTGTGTTTGTTTATTTGTTAATTGATTTTGCAAAGTTATACGAAGAACTGTGAAGTTTGTATTGACAAAAGTTGGTAAAGAATTATAAACTATCGCAGACCATCGCTTAGTGATTAGATTGTGTGTGAGTTTTTCTTCTGATAGTCTTGTCTTGGTAAGTTCTATGAAAGTTACTTTATTTTAATGTGATTAGGTTATGTAACATAAGTAGGTACCTACGCGGAGCTTCCCGTCGCGGCAACTCAGTCAGTAAAAATAACGAAGCTTTAAGTAATATGTTATGTACTAATTATAAAATGAAATGAAGAAGAATAAGCTAGGTAAATGAATGTTTAATAATACTAAAAAATGTACTACCGCTTACTCGGCTCGGCCGCAGCCGGCCGCGCTCGGTTCGATTTTTCTATTAGTCATACCCAAGTTCTTAAAATCATAATATCTCTTGAATAGATGAACCAAACTTATTAATTCGAAGAATTAAATTAAAAGAGTAAAGAATTCGTAATATTCTTGTATTAAACGTGAGAAGGCTGGACAGGCCGCCAGTTCAGTACAATTTTTAGAATGAACAATTCGTTACTGCTACTGAATTGATAACATAAATTAGATTAATCGTTATACAGCACCTCGAGTAGGTAATTATGCAGATTAGTTTTACAAATCTAAAGAGAAAAATAGAATATTAATGTTTTTAAGTTGTTAGAGTAATCAATAAGTTGATGTAATACTTCACGAAAACAACGAGAGATGGCACTGTTACAAAGAATTGACGAAAGATTAAAAACCTCATAAGTTGATTATGTTATGTATTTACGATGAGTTTAATCATAATACAATATTATGTTGCCTACCCTGTTCTAAAACCCTGTGCACGCCACTGACGGTCAGTCACGCAAGGATAAACCAATTTGGTGTAATGTACGCGTATACACTCCCACCGTGTTTGTTTAATGCACTTCCAGAGTGTTGTACAGGCTCACTTTAAAACATCGGTAAAAACAGCTCACCAAATATTAGCGAGCACATTTTTGGGCAGTTGGTGCTCCTCTATAGCGAGTTCAAGGGCGTTCAACCCTATTTCTGGCTTGTATGTAGTTTGCTATCCCTAATTTATTTAAAAGGGAGGTGTGAGCTGAGGGATTAAAGTATTACCAGATGGACATTATTATTTGTAGTTTTACTTGCTTCCTGTCCATAGAAATAAAGTTTTACCTGCTTGTTTATATTATTGGTGGATTAGCTATGAGATTTTTAGGCTTATATCTAGTTCATATCTAATTCTTATTTGGCTTTATAAAACGATTTTTGTGCAACCCATTCAACTAATCGACTTCTCGTAATAAATGATCCAATAATAACCCAGACTTGTTTTGTAAACGAGTTTTAATATTTTGCATTACAATGTGGTAGACCTAGTAAATGATGCATTTAAACCAGACAGGCAGACACTTCACACTAGACCAACATTGAGTTTATCCTTAGACTGGTTTATCTTTCGACGCACGTTCTACATATTTCGACCAAATGGTACCTATTAAGCTTAAATACGAGTACGTACCTACTTACATAATGTACCTACATCTAATACTTCATGAGGAATGAAGTGACATCAGCGCGCCAATTTGTAAAATAAACCAATCACAACGAGAATCTAGATCACTTACTCCTTCGAATTGCCTGCAGCCATCGAATGTCTAACAACTACTTATTTTACTTAGATTTATTAATAACAGACTAGGTACAGTGTACAGTAGGTAACTATCAATCACGAACATTTTATAAAAAAATATGAATCTAAAGGTTACTCTAATGGACGAGCAAGTAGTTAACCAGATGGGTCTTGTCTTTGCTATTTATAAGAACCTACCCAGCCTAATCCAACGTGGTTAGACGATCACTCATTCATGTTATGCAAATCAACTCAATTAGGCGCCATCAACAATCGTGTGACAGCAGTAATCAGCAGTTTGTTTAGGTTGGACATTACCGTCGTATTGCTTGTACCGGGAAGCCGTTAATGACGAACAACGACGCACAGCGGAAAATAGGAATCAGTATCGGGTCAAAAATTTGTAACTTGATGAGTTTTTATCGATAATTTTATATTCGAACCTTACAAAATAACCATATTATCAAAAATGTTAATGTTTTCGATGCTAGATCTACCATTTTTCACAATGCGTTATATGACAAAGTAGGTCCCAAGTTTAATCGGCTGACGTTTCCGTAAACCACGACCGCATATCTATAGAACAAATTCAGGCTCGTACATGAGTGACGGAAGACTATTTTGGGCTCCATTATCCAGAAATGGCTACGCGCCGCTCGTGTTTGGATTTAACGAGAGAGCGTTTGGGTACGTACGTAATATAGTATACGAACGTGGAACGAAATATAAATTAATATTTGAATTTATTGCAAGAAAAGAAAGGAAATTAGGAGATTCAAATGCAACCGCAGTTGCCTTTCGCAATACAAAATTGGCAAGCGTCGTCGTTTGTATTCATGAATTCTTGTTTATTCCTATTTAGTCAACACTGATGCGATAGGTATAAAATCATTAAAAGATTGTCGAAATACTTTTAAAACCTATATAGGGGTAAATAGCATAAGTATATAGGTATTTAATTGATGCGTGCTGACACATTTGACCTTATATTATTATATGGGTCAGCCCTGTGGCTAATTAAGTTTGTAATGTAAACGTATTCTCAATACTGGTAACGGTTTTATCTATTAGCCGTAGATACTGATAATGCAATTTTATTATCTTATCCGCTCCAATCACAACGGGCGCGTGCACTAGGCCCTAACATTATAGTAATCTGACATTGAACATTTTCAGTATAACATAAAGTCTCGTCTATGAACTCTACGTCTGAGACGGTATACGGGCTAGGTACTTTGGTATTAAAGCTGTCGTTATATATATTTGGCTCAATAGAATGGATCGGCTCGCCTCCGAGCCGTCTGGGAAGCTGCAATACGAGTCTCCCTCCCCCTCCCTTGCTAAGTGGAAGCAAAGATAGCGAATTCCTTTCCCCCACCCTTAGAATCACCCTCCTACGCAGGAGGACGACACATAGGTATTCGCCACGATACTATAGCTACGTCGATAGATATAAGGTAAGTGATAGGTTTTAAATATATTTTTTTTTCTGTGTATTGTCCGTGTTGTATACATGAATAAATAAATAAAATTAAATAAAATTAATTAAAGATAAGATTTTTCGGTTTAAGGACGATGACTACCTGATTTTTCTACATAGATCTAGCTTTAGCATTTGTCAATGCACTAGGTATCTGTTTAATTCGAGAAGGTTAGGTCTCTTTCTGTTCTGTAAGAAAATTAAACAGACACATATAGGAAATTCTACTTCCATAAATTATAGTCACATCGTTAACTTTAAACACAACACAATCCTTGTTAGTTACCAATTTGAAGAACGAAACAAGTATATTATTGTTTGATTTACCACAAAAGGCACGCATTATTCTTCAGAATATTATTGTAAAGGGAGGTTCGGCTACCTGCTAAAATGCTCGAAAAACACGTACCATCTGTTTTGGAACGTTTTGCACCTGCCGTCGAGGAACAGGCTTTTTCGGCCAATCGCAGCAGTACATACATCGCTCAATTTCGAAATACTTGTCTTTTAAATTCATTGACTTTATACGTACAGACTTTTTTTTTCGAGTTTTAGTCAGAGCGTATGTCTTCCATATGAATTGTCACCCCTCTTATTGTGGAACTAGGGGAAGGTCGAAAATGTAGAGGGGTCGCCGAAATTAATGGCCTAAATAAAAAAATTCAAAGTTATAAGCTCCTAATACTGAACACACAAGTGCACTGTAAGTAATGAAACGCAAATGTTAACAATGACCAACATTTTCTTCGCAGAGCTAATTTTATGAAAATACCGGTTTTCTTTGTAGCGAAAGCTAGCTTGTTAGATAGCCTAGCATCTATTTATATTAAGTGGAGGAAGAGTTAAATCTAGGTATGTGTATCTAACTGCCTTGTTTGTTACTGTTCCATACTGATTTTCCATGTAAGTATTCCATTGTAGATTGTACGTAAGCCTAACTTTGTTTTCAAATCGTTACAGCGCATATTCGAGACTGCTACCTACTACTTAGAAATTCAATGTATGGGAGGTGTCTGTTCCACCACGTGCTGCGACTTACAACTGAATGAATCACACTGATTACTCAAAGCTACCTGTATATGGATGATAAATTATAATATATGAAGCTTAATTCAAAACAACGCAAGTACTAAGCCAGATAGTGAATTTAACAAGACTTTTAAATCTTAAGAAACGGCATGTAAATACATTAACGCCTCACTTCTAAAAGGAAATGAAAGAAGCCAAAGATTTTAAAAATACGTATCAGCGAAATCGTGCCCATATCAAAAATAACATCCGAATTAGATCGATAATTGCGAAACGTGAGTGACCAGCGAGTTTCTCAATATCCGCCACCCACTGGCATTTTGTTCTTTAGATTGGGACAAATACGGCCTACAATTTAATTTAATTGCTTGTTTAATTCAAGAAATTGAACAAAATTCAATATATATTGCAATTCCTGTCGGTACATACTATCGACGATGGTCGGCGAATCGTTCTAAATACAGGACAGGGTGATAAATTGACTCATAGTCGACTTAGACCACAATTATTATTAAAACATTGTATACATATATTTAAATAGTATGTCAGAGAAGGAAATATCAAATTAAAAGAAAGATATTGCAGGCGACTCTATATCTACATGTTCGAGACAACATCGTTATCGATCGTGGTCGCGCATTCGCCGGGTCTGCGCTTTTGCAAAAAATCCTTTTATAACATAAACACGATATGCATGTGAGTGAAAATGGAGTATTGATTGTAAGAGCCTTACCTGACAGGAGATCGAGAGGTGGCTCAGCGCAGCACCCACAACACTTCACACAACACACGCGAAGGGACGAGTGGCGACAACCGACCCGCCCAAGCTACAGACGCGGTATGAGTAACTCGTATAGCTATGATATAAACGGCCGATGACATCCGACCGCAGAAAAGGATGGGTGTAGTATATCGTATCTGCTCTACGGCTCAGCGAATCAACAAAGTCCTGGCCGAGACGGGGCGATTGTAACTGAGGGTCGCAGGACATGAAAGTAATGCGCACGCAGGAAATTCGTAAAGACAACCGGGCCTCGTAACCGTGCACTCCGCACTTGTGTATACTCCTATTCAGAGTATATTGAATTCAAGGTGGCTAGCTCCATCTCACTCACGTCTCGTAGGATGTGAGTTATCGACTGGAACATTATTTACAATACGTAGCCGTAACATCCGCAAGCTTTTTAATTGGTTGTGAAAACGTGCAGTGAAAAAAATAGTAAATCGATATTATATTTTATTAAAAGTAGAATCATAATTTATAACAACATGAAAATAAATAACATCTCAATGGCAGTATTTGTATAAATAATTTCTGGCATATAACAGTTATAGAAAAATATTCTTAAAAAATTATAAACCATTATTTCCAATACTATAATTATTTTAATGCAATGTGACTTTATGGAAGTTTTTTGTAGATAAGTCACATTCGTATATATTTTATTGCTCTGTTTAATAGATTTTACAAATAGAAAACTGTATGGCACATAAAAATAAATTCTTCACATTGTCTAGTACAAGACATAACATTGAACAGTGAGGACTAAACGTGAAGTACATATTCAGGAACGTTAGTATTAGCTAGAGTATGTAACGAGCTTATTATCTTGTCGCGGCTAGAAGCGTTTATTATTACTTCAACATCAACATCAAAATCTACTCATAATTTCCATAAAATATGTATATTATAACTATCTAAAATTTTCTACACATGTTCTCAACATCTAGTCTAGTAGCTTTCAAAATTTTACACTTAACACTACAATAAGATAATAGATTTTATTTATAATTATAAAATATATACTTATGTAAATATTATGGCAAAGGACTCGATACATATGTTTCACATTATGTATACAAATATTAAATAAAAAATATACATATCTATCTACTTTTTCAATTATTTCTTGGTTTTATTACTTCACATCAAGATATCAGAAAATTACACATACTAAGATCATTTAATTTAAAAAATATATACCTATTAGTAAACATTGAAGGCTTTAGCAATTCTATTGTTGTACAATTTTAATGAGTACACACTTAATCAAAATATTAGTCAGTGCCGGACGAAACCAGTGCAAAAGGGGGCTCTAGAATCAATACTTCACCTTAACTAAACTTTGTAGATCGCGGACCCCTGAATAGAAGCTGCTAGGGGCCCCGTCCGTGCCTAATCCGGCACTGTTATAGTCCGCAAGATATTGGTGTTACCGTTGTATTAATAAGTTTTATTGAGTTGGCATGGTTCGGCAGTGGGGCAGTGGGAAGGTTTAGTTAGTCTCGTGGGGAGCTGGCAGTTTTTCCCAGGAAGGCTCCACGCCCCAAATCTCCCGTGCATACTCTGCGATGGTGCGGTCAGACGAGAATTTGCCCGAAGATGCGATGTTTTCAATCACCATCTCAGCCCACTTCGACTGGTTCTGTACAAAGGAACAGATTTATGAATAAACAAAGTTACATTTTTCGGATTATGGCCATAAACCATCTTTTGTTGCCGTCCTTTATGCTTTAAGAAAGTAGAAAAACGGTAACAATGAAACCTAGACAGTGGACAATAGATATCTTAATACCTAAATTTTTTATATTGATTATAAAATAAAAATAATCCAAAATACAAAATGCACGTTTTTAATATTTTTCTGTTCCAAAAAATATGGCAGAAATTTAAAGTGAAATCGGTAACTCGATGTGTGTATGTACTTACCTAATATATGGTGTACATTTATAATGATTACTATGTTGAGTGCCAAATTATGTTAATATGAGATAAATTATATGCTAATGTGTTATTATTGGACTTAAAGGTTGTACAGAGCACAGATGACACATTTCACCGCAGATAACCCACATTGTAACGAATTATATCATAACTTAATTTATTCGACTCATTAGAAGATTTCTGTCAAGACTTCATGAATGAGAACATATTAAGAAATAATATACAATTCTTTGTGTCTATTTTTAAGTTTATTGCTTGTAATAAAGAAATAAATAAAAAAATGTGAAGTGTTGTTGGTTTTAACAATAAGGGTTTAACAATAATGCACTGACTACACGGGCGCATTGGCTGAGCAACTGGCTGCGGCGCAAAGTGTCGCAGGTTCGATTACCGTACGGGACAACTCTTTGCGTAATCCACAAATTGTTGTTGTTTCGGGTCTGTTGTTGTGGGATGTGCATGTCAACTTGTATGTTTGTAAATGCACCCACGATATAGGAGATAATGGTAGTGTGGGGCAATGTTATTTTAATAAAAAAAGAAATAAGAAGATTATGATTATTTATTTGGATATCTGTAAACTGACGACCATATTAAGTCGTGGTGGCCTGAAGGTCAAGGCGCTTGCTTTTGAAGTACGAAATTGGGTTCGAAAGTATTTGGATACAGACACGGTGAAGTTAAAAATCATCAGAAAACCTGGATTGATAAATTTATAAATGCGTGCACCAGACGTGGTGATTACTGCAAGAGAAGAGGCTATTTTACAACAGTGGGTTAACTAAAGATGATGATGATGCTGAAACAGAACCAAGTCTTAACAAGTAACGTGTGATAACATACCTGGTAAACACTGGAGACTTTCTCCTGTGCCTCGATGTAGGCGTCGTAGTCAGCGAGGTGTAGGAAGCGGTCGTGGTGAAGCAATACGTCGGCGATGTGCGCGAACCGTCCTGGCTCGCCCGGGGAGAAGAACCCGCTGCGGATCTGCTCTATGCACTGCCGCAGTTCCGGATTGCGCTCGTAGTATTCGTATGCGTTGTAACTGTTTAAGGAGTTTATTTGTTATAAATAATTATGACTACCTTTTCAGTTAACTGTTAAGTAAGAGGTCTTGAAATCTGGATCGGGTAAATGATGATTCACGCTTCACGCTACATCGTGTTGCGACTGAGCTGTGCCCCAGTTTTCCCGCAGCCCCGGTCGGACTAAAACCCTAGTGGGCCCCATCTGTGGTTACCACCAAGGAAAATAGCTTTTTATCATACCTGATAAAAAGCTATTTTCGACCTTAAAAATGGTTTTGACGAAAGTCATAAACCCATTGGTTTCATTGTGGTACTCTCAAAGCATTCTTTGAACTTAAGAATAATTACAAAACCAAATTAAATATACAGGAGATCGTCGCGCGAACCTCACCCCGTAGTGCATGTAGGTATGGGACCGAAGTCCCATTTTTTCATAACTGGTGATTGGTGAATAGTGAGTCTTACATTGTATGTACATATATATACATATGTGCGCAGTGTGCTATGTTATGTTATTCACTGATTTTTATCATTTCAAAAACAAATGTTATCCTAGGTCAGTTGGATTTCACCCACACAGTTGTCTAAAAGGAAATAACATAGTTTTTTATGTTAATATGTTGATCATCATAATAATATTATAGTACTTTATAATGATGATTCGTTGTGAAGTCGAAATTTGGAAACGTGCCCGATAAATAGCGAAAGTGTTGCAGGCTTGCAGATGATGCCAAAATGTAATCGTAAACAATAAACAGACCGTTTCTATTCAGTCATTTGTTTTTTAAATTCCGTATTTAAATAGATTCAACACTGAGAGTTGTAAGTAAATACGTATAAACCCAAATTTTAATTGTTTAGTTTAATACCTGCTATAGGCGTGTGAAACAAATCAAGGGCAAATACTTGTCTCTGGTTTAGGTAACTTTTTACGACATTTGTGGATTGACAAGTAAATGATAAAATATGCGCTATCTTCCTAGAGTATGAGCTTTATAACTTTACACATTTACACTCACTGTTGCAGTAAACCATAGCTGATAACAGTAGGTCGTTACATCAGAATGAATGAAGAAGATAAACCCAGTTGCTGCATTATAATCTAACTGCTAATCAGTACTAGTACATTAATCGCACTGATTGTAATTACACGCGATATTTTCAATACGGCCCTGAGCGTTGTGTCCACGCACTGCTTTCGCGTGTATTTCTCGATGCATTACATAAAGCAGTGTTTTGCAATTACACTTCTACTAAAAACATTGATAAGTACAAGGCAACTATAGTGAAAATGTTATTGTAACAGATTAACTAGTAATTAAAACCTTATTAAGTGAGCCATTTAGCTCTAATTAACTTGAACTCTGCCTTTCATGTTCCGTTGTTGCGAGTTTCAGTACGTATTTTATTATTACTACAGTAGCATAGCGTGATAATAGGCAGCTTATTACTATTTTTCAATATTTATTCCAACTTATTTTACCATTTTTCTTTTGACCAAGATTCATTATTTTATTAAGCACTTATATTGTGCACAAATAAATAATAAATCATGACTATTTGGTATCAAAACTATTCGTTAGTAATAATTAGTTATCTCACCCTTTCTTCTGCAAAGCTTCGACGTCATCGACCCTCATGCCGAAAATGAAGAAGTTGTTCTCTCCAGCTTCTTCGGCCATCTCGACGTTGGCGCCGTCCATAGTGCCGATGGTGAGGGCACCGTTCAACATGAACTTCATGTTGCCAGTACCAGACGCTTCGGTACCGGCCGTCGAAATCTATAACATAAAACATATTACTGAGTGACGAGAAGATTGTTGGTAGTAGCCACGGAATATATAAAAAGGTGGTTTATGATGAAGTTTGATAGGAGAAAATCCCCTATCCCTATGCTCTAAATTCTCAAAAGGCTAGTAACGCACCGGTGTACATAGATGACACCGATTGCTTACTATATTTGTTTTTATAATAACTATCGTGAGAGAATTACGACAAAAAATTACAGTAGGTTGTGTGACGTTGCCGCGACCGCGCACGCTGCTCATGAGAAAGTGTCCTTCTGTGATTCGAAACTATCAGAGCTTAGTACATTTACACGAGTAACTCGTAATTTTTTAACTTGGTCGGCGACCTATTGTCCAAAAAAATGGGATGAGGGCACAAAGAAGCTACTAATAATAACAATTTCATCAAGCAAATTGGTTTTGTTATTTGAATACGTGCGTCAGATCATGTTGTCTCGTTGTTTTGGACGAAGTTGTCATCTTTCAGATGCTTCTATATGAGGACGAGGACTTGTGTTTAATAAACTTGACTAACTGCGTGATTAAACTTTGTCTAGTTAAACTTCGAGAAGAGAGTTTTAACCTGATTAGTGATTAAGTTAAGTTAACAGTGGACATAAAATATCTTACACGATAAAACACGAATAAATTACATCAAGTAAGTTCATTAACTCAACCATTGTTCACTGCTCAGTCTCGTGTAATTAACGTCTCGCACGTGTGTAATGATTACTCTCTACAATATGGACTAATACGGTACAAACAATAAAAATAATGGTGATAAGCGGAGCCTACGGTAATGAAATTACAATGCATTTTCAATTGTGACTTTTATTGCCTTTTGTGGCATTCCCGACCCAGACAGTATCAATCACATAAATAGATTGTTATATTATAATACTTTTACTTAAGCATATTTTCTTTCTTTTATATATAGAATATAGACTAGATGACTTCAGTTAAAGATTTAAGTAAAAATGTTGACGAACCTGTTCACTGAGGTCAGCAGCGGGCATGATGCGCTCAGCCAACGTGACGCGGTAGTTCTCCAAGAATATCAACTTCAACTTGTCTCCGACGTCAGGGTCGTTGTTTACCTGGATAAATACAAAAAAAAATCAATTTTAAAATGAACAGTAACACTTTAATAGTATATAGGTACAGTAGCAGAAGTTTATACGTACAGTGTTACCAACAGCACAAGCCAAGGCAATCATTTGCTTGGCGACATAGTAGCCGGGAGCAGCCTTGCCTCCGATCATGACAGTGCGGGGAGTGACGGGCGCGGACGGGTCGCGCTTGATGCGGTTGTACAGCGTGATGACGTGCAGGATGTTCAGCAACTGACGCTTGTACTCGTGGATACGCTTCACCTGCACGTCGAACATCGACGCCGGGTTGATCTTCACTCCCGTATCCCTCTCAATCAGAGACGCAAGCTTCAACTTGTTCTCCTGCTTCACCTTCATGACCGCTCGTTGGAAGGCAGGATCCCTGGACCAGCGTTTCAACTGCTGCAGCTTCTCCAAGTGAACTGTCCAGTCCTCGCCAATCTTGTCACAGATGAGATCAGATAGTCCCGGGTTGCAAAGGAGCAACCAACGACGGGGAGTAATACCATTAGTCTTGTTCTGGAATTTTTCGGGCCACATTTCAAAGAAGTCACGGAATACAGTCGCTTTCAGGATCTCAGAGTGAATGGCCGCTACACCGTTCACGGCGTGAGAACCCACGACACACAAATTAGCCATGTTCACTCGTTTCTCACCCTCTTCCTCAATGAGCGACATGCGACGTAAGCGGTCCATGTCACCAGGCCAGCGCTTCTCAACTTCCTGGAGATGCAAGAAGTTAATGTGGTAAATCAACTGCATGTGTCTGGGCAACACATTCTCCAACATTGTGGTGGGCCATCTCTCTAGAGCTTCGGGTAGAACGGTGTGGTTAGTGTACGCGCAACACTGAGTGACCAGCTTCCATGCCTTGTCGTAGGGCACCTTCTCAATGTCGACTAAAATCCTAAGAAGTTCAGGAATAGCGAGCGCGGGATGAGTGTCGTTTAGTTGTATGGCTACTTTCTCAGGAAGACTTTCGAATGTTGTCCTGACGGCCTCCCTGCTACCGAATTTGGAATTTTTGTATCTCCTGATAATATCTTGTAGGGTGGCAGCACACATGAAGTACTCTTGACGTAAACGCAACTCTTTGCCTTCAAAGAAGTTGTCGTTGGGGTACAGTACTCGGGAAATGTTCTCAGCGACATTACGATCGAGCACAGCCTGGATGTAGTCGCCAGAGTTGACTGGAAATAATTTGTAGCATAGTTATCACCTACATAATTCGGCTTCAATCCATGAGTAATTTATAGTTGTGAGAATTTTTTTTTTCGATACTTACAGAATTTCAGGTTGAAGTCGACCGGGCTCTTGGCAGACCAGAGTCGTAGCGTGTTGACGACATTATTGTTGTAGCCGGGTATCGGGTTGTCGTAGGGCATCGCAAACACGACCTGATAACAACATTATAGCTTCACTTCACTATTACAATTAATCGACATTTTAGTCAATTTGTGTAAACTGTAGAAGAGTTAGTACATTTTATATCTAGTTGTATTATAATGAATGGAATTAATTTTTGGGACTGATAAGAGTTTATCCGGGCTATCTAAAAATAGCGTGAAAGTTTATTTATCACAGAACATTCATTTAGCATGAAATATACACGCGTCACACATCACACAGTATGGGCACGGAACATTTGTTGTTGACACAAGATCATTGTCAACAAGAGCCGTACTCAGGGGACTTATATCGATGATAAGTATCGTATTGTTATCTCCGTAAAGTTCAAGTTAAGAAGTTCAAGCAAGAATCAACAACGTATGAAATGCATCAATAATAAATGAATAATTGTTTATGATATATGGTAGCTATGTGATATTTTATACTCTGCTCACTACCTATCTATGTATTAGCGCTGGTGTCCTATTTACGTATAGATATACTTGTATACTCTAACAATTTGGTCAGTGGGGACCGTAACAATAATACCTATCGGTATAAATGGAAAATTGGTGCATGAAGAGCAATTCGGAACTCTGACTGTGGGACGGACGCCTACCTAGAAATTAGTTACTAAAATAACAAACAGGTATCGTCTGTTAGGTATTTCTAAATGCAATCGTGAAGAACAAAAATATTCAGCATATTTTTAGAATTTTCTTTTCAACAGATTAGGAATCGTTATCTAACCAAGAGTTTCTGTTTCAATTTTGGTAAGTAAGGATGAGAGCTGGGATCATTATTTACAAGTCACAGTGTCGAAGGTAATGATTAAACAATCCTGCCCTACTTGATAATGATAGGTAGGTACCTAACTAAATAAAAGTGGAGTATCTACCTATTCGAGAATAATAAACTGGCGTCTGGCGAATCAATTTTTTGTACCTATTGAGTAGAGAAAGGCGAATATAGTGTTGCTAAAAGAACTTAATCGTATTAAGGCCGATGTTTCCAACGCCAGATAACTTTTAACTGAGGAATAATTTTGAATATTTGACAATTCTTCCTAAAAACTGTCAAATGTCAATTTTATTCTACAGTTAAGAATTAACTGATGAAGTGATGACTAAAAATTGATACCATTGATAAGTACCATTTAATACCATTTTCTACTTGAAAAGAAATGTTCTCTGCTTTTGTACCTGGGTATCGATCCATTTCTTTCCATCAGGCGTGTCGACCACACGGCCGTAGAAGTTGACGGGCAGCATGAACTCGGGGCGGGCCTTCTCCCAGGGGTTGCCGTAACGCAGCCAGTCATCAGGCTCCTCCTGTTGTTCACCGTGTTCTATCTTCTGAGCGAATATACCGTACTCATACCTGATACCTACGAAGTATATGAGTCTATCAGTCTGGATTTAAATAGGATTTGCGATGAACTGGGCTTATGCACAGACTCGTAACTCTGTTTATGCATTTTTATAGTATGTGCAACAAACAGTTAACAAAGACGTTCTTTAGAATTCCGATTGCCAAAAAGCGAATTGTTTTAGTTAATAATATTATGTAAACGTAGATAATATGTCTAGCATGAACATTGCGTGGTGTACGGACGTTGACCTTTTTTATTAGTATCACTTATCTTTTTCTGTTGTCTATCAAAATTAAAAATCGTAAGGTTCGCAACCTTGTAGGTAGGGAACTGAACAACAAAATAATACAAAGTTTGTTTAATTTATTTTCCGTCACATCGCCATATATTACGTTTGGATTTATTGAATAGGTAAATGGTAAAGCTAATCAAATATAGTCACACCCAATTTTAGAATAAATAAACATGTAAAACCAATAATAATTAGGTACCCTATTGTGAGTTATCACTACAAAAGTTACGACATAAAGCATAGGTAAGATTTATTAAGCAAATAAAATAGGGGATTGAACAATAGAGCTAATACTATGGGCATTCAACATGGTTATAGGTTAAAGTGTTCAATTTAGTGTGTACATTTATAATTGGCGACGCGCCAGCGACGGTGTTGTCAACTGCTTCAAATTAGTTTATGCTGGCTAAAATAATGTCAAGTATGTTCTCCAATGTCCTGTGGATGATCTTTAACAGCTTCTTGAAAGAATTTAATGTATGCGGTTGCATCTGATGTCAACATTATGTTTTTTATCATACTTTTTGTTTCAGTTTAAATGTGCCAGTTGAGTTTCTAATTACCTATGTACCAAAATTGTTTTACATGCCAGACGTTTCATGAAAAAAAAACTGGGTCATTATTATCACTAGCTACCTACTGTGAAATAAACATAACAATTGATCAAATTTTATTTACCACTTCCTTATTTCATGGGAATGCAACATCCATTATTGTTTTTTAGGTTGACTTACCATAACCATAAGCGGCCAGCCCAAGAGTGGCCATGGAATCCAGGAAGCAAGCTGCCAGTCGTCCTAGACCTCCATTACCAAGACCAGCATCTTCCTCCAACTCCTCGAGTTCCTCAATGTCTAAACCGAGCTGGTACAGAGCCTCATCTACAGTTCCCTGAATGCCCAGGTTGATCATGGTGTTTTGCAGGGATCTACCCATGTAGTATTCCAGAGAGAGGTAGTACACACGCTATAACAAAATACTCATTTTAAAAATGAAGTTTAAAAAAGAATATTTTTTAAGACAAACAAGAAATAATAATGAGGTATAATGTGCTGTCAAACACCAAGCGGTCACCGGTGACCGCAACCTATTGTTCTATAATTGTGTCTATATTGACTACTTGACAAGTTAATAATGTTGTTTTGAACCAGACAGTAATTAATTGTTTTGTAAAAATTAATAAGAGGTTGTACAATTTTATTTTTGTAAACATGTATTTCTCATTATATTTATCTATATTTGATTACAAAGTTACATTCTTATTTCCTATAGAATTATATTGGTATAGAATTATACTTATGCAGTGACAATGTATTTGTATCATTATAAATAGCAGAATTAAAAAGTTTGTTAATAACATAACTTTAGATGTAAACTTTAACATTAGTGGGTAACTCCTGACAAGGTAATATATAATTTTGTAGTCTTTCTTACCTTGGGGTCTTTTTCATAGTAGTATTGTTGGGTTCGAATCCAGCGTGAGACAAGGTGGTCCCTCACGGTATGGGCCAAGGCAAAGTAGTAGTCCCTTGGAGTCGCAACATTTCTGTCCTTCACAAGAGTATAATGCACATGACGATTAAATGCTTTCTTCACTTCGGCAACATTTTCTACTGCGACAATACCTCGCACAGAGATTTGTTTCCGCTTATCCGAATCGGATTGTACGCTCATTTTGAATATTCTCGGAGAAAATCAGGTAAAGCCCGTGCAACCGCTAGACCCTATCAACCCTGACTGATCAAATGCGGTTTGCGATATCGGTCACCTTGAGAAGGTCAAACATACAAATCTACCACAGACTACCAACCGGTGGCGATTATATTTTTATAAGTTTTACTATCCTCAGTTTTATTAACTATATCCACATTACTGTTTTTACAGTAGCCATAAATGACTTCATACAAAATATATACTAATTTTTTTAGCGGCAATCGTAATATCAAAGTGTATTTTGAAATGAAAAATGAAATCTTCAATTGACAGCTGTCATGTGTCAAACTCAGCTGAAGGTGATGATGGCATTGTCAACGTAACAACGTCAATTCCATGGACAATTTTGTTATTCCGTCAAGGTTATGCTGATATTCTCGGTATACTCATCGATCAATATTTGCCTGTTGATACTTTGAGTATTAAATACAGTATCTGTATCATAACCATAGATTTATAAATATACTCTTATCATATCAGTGATCATAACAGAGAATATTGTTTATTGAAGGTAAAAACTGTTGATGATAATTCATTAGTCGAGTCAAGTCTATTGAGCTTATCTGGAATATCCCAATTTTCTAGATTTTTTTTTTTTATGGAATAGGAGGCAAACGAGCAGACGGATCACCTGATGGTAAGCGATCAGCGCCGCCCATGGACACCCGCAACACCAGAAGAGTCACAGGTGCGTTGCCGGCCCTTTAAAAAGGAGTACGCTGTTCTCTTGTAGGTTTGAAGGTCGTATCGGTTCGGAAATACCGCCGACGACAGATCATTCCACAGTTTTGCTGTGCGAGGCAGGAAGCTACGTGAGAACCGCACAGTTGTGGCCTGCCAACCATCTATATGATGGGGATGCATATGCTGTCGTGAGGGTCGATGGCGAAAAGATGCGGCAGGTATCAGGTCAAACAATTCCACAGAGCACTCCCCGTGGTATAAGCGGTAGAAAATGCACAAATTTTCTAGATATTAATTATTTTGGTGTACGTTTGTTTTAGGTATCAATACATGCCCGATCGACTCTAAACTCTAATAACAAAACATATGTGCACAGACGAACCGTCTGTCTCATATCCCGCCACAGCCTTGATGATGATAGCGTATTAATGAAAATCTAAATAAAAACACAGATGTGTAACATTCTTTATAGATTTATTATATTATAAGTAATTATAGAACATAGGTACAGTGTCTAACTACAGAAAACAAAAAAAAAGTTCGACTGGAAAAATAAATAGTATTTACTATTCGTACAACTTTATTTACAATCAAATAATGTTTCGATGTAAATTACATTAAGTATATTCATATTATATGGTTATGAAAAAATACCGAGCGCATGGGTCATACATTTAACGTATAACAGAAACTTAACATTATTCGTCATTTTGTACCTACAATGCACTTTTGACTTTTATTTTTACATAAATGTATGTTTTTATAATGACTATCGTGAGACATACTAAATGAACTAAAAATTGCGGGTTATTCACATGAAAATACTGCGAAAAGCTCTACTAGTTTTAAACCACAAAGGGGTTCTTACTCATGAGCAGCGTGCGCGGTCGCGGCGATGTCACGCAGCCCCCCAGAACCCCTCTGTGGTTCGAAACTAGTATAGACTAAACTATTCTCAGTATTTTCACGTGAGTAACCCGCTATTTTTAGTTAATTGACATAAATGTAATTAAATGACCTTAAAGTGGATTTAGTCTAATAAATATTCTCACAGGCACATGTAAATTTTAAATGCACTGTAGTTTTATAACAAGTAAATACTAGTAAGGCAGTATCTAACAAAATAAGTAACATTTAATATCAAACTCAGGTAAAATGAGTTCACATAATAAATTAATAAGACTTTTTCTAAACCTAGACTGACCTAATACCAAAAACGGTTAGACCACGTTTTATTGTACTTTGGTATTTAATTATATGACGGTCAGATAATAATAACTTCATATCTTATAACTATATTTAGTCAATATCAATCATATCCAGACAGATCTTACCGAGAATCAACAATATTTATATATATTTAATTTTAATTTTTAATAAATGCAAAAATATAACAATGGCTCAACTTATAAAGAATTGACTCCAAAGAATTGCATTCGCATTTTACATTCTAAGTTTTTCTGCTTCTAACGCGGCAAGTTTGATTGAAAATATTTTGTAATCAAATCGCTAGGATAGATATTTATTAAGTGCAAGCTTGACTTGTAAGTCTATGAAGATTTTGAAAAATCTCTGGAAGCCGAATTTATGTCTAAATCTCTTTTGCACGGAACAACAAACTTCTGTTAACTATTCCCGAATAGGGGAGCTCGTGGCTGGACATAGGTACACCTGCTGTGGGTAGAGGTCGCCACGGATGCGGACTGCGCGTACGCCGTTAGCTGCAGCGCGAAATTCTAGTTCACCAATCAGAAGGTCGTCCGCATAAACTGCCCAATCCGCCGGTTGACGAACAATTCGTAATGTTGTCTGAAATGAAAAATATCATCCAATGGGGTAGACGACTAATTTTTATTTTAATGTCCGTCTGGTAGATTATTTAAAAACATTAGACACGTATTTTTTATTTTCTTACGGAAACGAATAGTTTCGAAGATATATTGATTTGAAATGTCGCGTGACGTCACTTCTCAGTTCATTTTATACTAAGAAATGACGTTTTAGCCCCCACTCCTAAACTTTGATTCGTTTTATCTAAGTATTGTTTTATTATACAACAAAATAAAAAAATACGTGTCTAATATTTTTTTATTACCTAAGTTACGGACTAATTATATTTTTAATTTTCATACCCTGTCATCATCCCCATTGTAAGAAATTATGACAATCACAGTCACGACGTCGTAGTATCTAGTGCATGCCAGTAATGTACACAAATAATAATGAAAAAATCATTATATTAAATACATCCAATAATCAATTAATATGTTCTCGACTAGTTTCAAGTCGCGTCGCGGGTCGCAAATTGCTGCTCATGAATGGCTCTAGCATGGCTTGAAACTAGTTGAGTTCCTTGTCAAATTATTACGCGAGTAAGCCGAAAACATAATAATTTATTTAGTATGTCTCACGAAAGTTACAATACAAATACAAGCAATAGTCCATCATTTTGCAGAGTAAATACCTAAACGAACAGTTGCCAAATAATTTTTACTCGGGATCCAATTGTAAATGACGTAACTAATAATTATGCATTTATTTTCTTTATGAATACTAAAATTGTTACCACACTGCTTATATTTAGCTGCACTAGTAGTTAGGTATTCATATATATCTGCCTAAAGTAAAAAAATAAGTTTAGTGGAGTGGTACTCGTAGTTTTAATTAATGACTCAGAACCTGACAATTGGTTACGTAGGTGGATAATAAATTAACACGAATGCCATTTTATCATCATCTTGAAAACGACCTCAGCTGAAAACCATTTTGCAGTTTTAGAACACCTTACTAGGTCAGTGATTTTATCACCTACCATTGTTATAAAGAAATATAATGGTTGTAAGTGACGGGGCATGAGTTTGAACTCCCGACAGTCCCGACTTGATAAGACTTTACACATAACAACAAGAATTTGTAACTTACACAGCTACCAGGTATCAGTCGAGCAGTTCGTTGTCGTCGTTCGGGTCCCCATTCTCCAAACCATGCGTTCAACACTACCAGCTGCCTCTCTCGCTGAGATTCGAAGTACGCTCGTACATTGACGTGAGCCAACACGTTAGGTCGAGGCCACTCACGGGCAGTATCCATCAAATCTATTGCGAACGAGTGAAGAAGTGGCCGCAGTCTGAAAATAAACAAATCAATAATGTCAATTTGGTACTTTTGTCCCTCCATGCGTTCATCATTGAAATATGATTGCGTAGCAAAATTATCAACAAAGTTTACTTTTATTACTCAATTCATGATTCCGAGAAGTGATGTGGGTGGATTAGTTATTTCAACAGAATTATCATTAATGATTTTCTTTATAAACGCGCCACACCAACATTTTCCTTATTTTCCCTAAAGATAGCCGAATCAAAGAAGCATTTCTCTGAAATCAACTATTCTTATTTCAACTATCTAATCAGCTATTAATGCAGTGATAAAACATGAAACTTCTTTTTGAATAAACGATATGTCAGAATTAATGTGTGGTGTTAGGCGGGGAATATTCTAATACCAACAAACATGTTAATGAAACTGTACATCGGCTACCGAGTGGTATTGGAAGGCAGCCAACAAACGTAAATGAAGCTGGAGGCTGGAGGCAATCAACATTTTTCATAGACACAGTTTAGATTGTGAATATATATTATTATTTATGTGTAAATGAAGCCTTACATTGCTTGACCTCTGGGTAGTTTTGTATTCTCGAAAAATGTTCTTACAATATAAAATCAATGTTATATTTCACGTACCTGCCGTAAATTACAAGTTGGTGACCTTCGGGAATGCCTGTCGATAAAGATGCGATTGCGTTCGGTTGCCAAGCAGGCTCTGAGGCTTCTGCCGGCGAGTCTACACTAGGTCTTAATGGAACCTGGAAGTACAAAGGTTTATGTATATAGTTTTGAGGCACATTATCGTCTTTAGATTAAGAACTTAAAAGTATAAAGCATCATAAATAGGTAACTCCATAATAAGTACTGTATCAAAGATAAGGAGCCGTCGGGCTACCGAGGCTTAACTTATGACCTTTTCTTTCTACTTTTCTAACATGGTTATCGTTGCCACCGAATTTTAGCTGGAAAGGTGTGGTATGATTATCAAGGAATGAGTCAAGCTCATATTCTATTGTCTTGTCCACGATTAATTTACGACACTTTGTAATAAGACCCACGTATAATATTGATTAATTCAGACTCCTGTGACAGCTATAAAAAATAATTGCGATGAGTATTACTTACTTCGACGGGAGATGGTGCTAATGTGGGGAATATATCAGTCTTCTGTATCTGTAGTGTCGCGTCTCGTATACCTGTGACCTGCACCCATTCTGCTGTCAATGGACTTGGATTTCTATGGGCATAGCTGCAATATTGTACCCCGTCAACTGCCCACAACGTCTCCTTCTCATCAACAACTACTTCTATCGTGAACGGATGATCTGTTTTAAAAGGAAACAACCTGGAAATAAAGACCAAGTTTTTAATTAGCGACACTAACAGGAAAATTAACGAGTAAATTACTAACATGAGTGTCGGGTTTAGTACGGTTATGTTAATTAAACTGAAATACAGTGTTAATTCTGCCCGTGTAATTAATACCTATCATGGTTATCAGGGTCAGTTTGGGTTTGAAGAGCTCAAGTGCGTAAGGACGTAAGTCGTAGGATGTAAGTCGTAGGACGTAAGTCCTAGGCTGTTCTGTTCTAGAGCCCAAGGTACGAGTAAAAAGCACGAACCATCCCCTTTTTTCGTTAACTTAGTATCATGGGGATCAACTACCTATGGCAAGCTTGCTAAGATCCTGGCTCAAAAATCGCCATTCCGATCGTATGGCCCTATTATGGCCAATTAACGCCGATAATTACTCAGCCATTCGGATCCGCAGAAAACTCTCACTTATTGTCAGTTTGCCGCTGACGACTCGGATATTTATGGTCAGTTATAAATACCGGAGTCGTCGAAAATTTGGCCGCACCCTTTAATAAAATTAGTGTGAGTGATGTTGATATCCCCATTTCATTAAGTACGGTACCTAATATGTGTACCTAATTTATTCGTAATGTTGTTGTATTCTGTATCATTTACCTGAAAGCAGTAGTTTCCTCGGGTCCCCATTTGTTGTGTCGCCGTGTATTACGAACCACGTAGTTTTGTGGAAGACGTACGTTGAAATGTACAGCTATGTCACTACGTCCCGAGTCAATGTCCCCGCTTCCTATATTCACAGCAAACCTAGCATAGATAACATATCATTGAATGATCTGTTACATAATATATTCATAAATAACTCATACAAAATCACATTTACTTGGCACAAGACCAATAATTGGAAGTGCAAAAAATATACAATGTGTGTAAATAATTACTTATTAAGTTACACATTTTCTGATCACGAAGATGTGAAACATGTAAATTTACAATACGAATTTAGGTACTACTAAGTGTAAATAATGTGTCGAAAAATAATGAGCATTTTCCCTGTCTATTATTAGATAAGAATCTGCATCATTTGTATTTTTGTGAAGTATAGATACTTAAGTAAGCATAGATATTATATAGGTACAGTAAAAAGGTCGTCTGGAAAATGCTGTAGGCGGTGACATTTATTGGTGAAATTTGGCAGCCATTAACCGTGTTTAGTGCAAGCGATGGTGAGGCCAGATTATCCATTAAATGTGTTTACGAGTTTAGGTGTGGCTGATATAGTATAGCCTGTATACCATCAGAATAACAGTTATAACTGAAATGTTACCAGGGTAAATCGTCGCTGGGCGTCCCCGTGCATATTATATGTGATCCAATCCTTAGAGGCTCCGTCAGGGTCTGTGTAAACTTAACTTCTCGCGCCTCTGCCAGTTGAGACTGAAATAAAATAATAAATTGTTTATAGACGCCATTAAAGAGTTTTATAGAGATATTCGTCACAAAGTTTAAAGATTTAGCTACGTTGATAGAACGTCTGGAACTATCAGAATACTGGGCCATTTAAAACAAAAGTCTTAGTTCCTGGCGACCATTCTTTAAGATACCTGATATACCACCGTCATGATTGGATAACTTACGATTTTTAGTTTGACAATTGGTAAGTCAGAGCCTTCCTGTTCGTAAACATAAGATAATATTAAATCATTTATTCCATAAAGTCGGCGCAGTTATTATTTTTTTTTATACATAATCGGTATGGTTATTGTAGGACGTTAGGTAAATTTCGAACATAGTTTTGATGGTACGGAATTCGGGTAGATAGGTACCTCTACTCTACCCAGGGCAGGTAGTCCCGATTCCCGAATTCTGCACCTTCAAAATCGTGATGTAATTTTTTTTTTTTTGTAATATAACAATGAATAATGAAGTTACCACAGGTAGGTACCGTACCACCCAATCCTAAAATATTAGTACGTATTTGAGTTAATTAAGCTTTAGTTAGATCAATAAAGAAAATAAACATGACAATTCTGACTAAATAACTAGAGGTAGCAATCAAGTATTTGCATCTATTATCTTTTTATAACTGCTGCTATTGGTTTTCAAAAGGTTGAATGTGATGATTATTACTTTATCACTAAACTACTTCTGAAATATAAACTAACTGGCAGCCCGTCCCGGCTTCGCACGGGGTAGACAATTATTTATTTTTTGGAAACTTGTTGTACATTATTTTGTTCTATCGCTAATAGTTTCGGCAGCGCATTCGACGAAAGACATTTTAAGACTCATTTTTCTACACCTTTGGTTACATTGTTCAAATTTTCCCAAGAATCCCTAATTTTTTTCAAAATGAAATGTAGCCTATGTCAAATTGGAAGAATGTAGCATTCTATTGGTGGAAGATTTTTTTAAATCGGCCCAGTAGTTTTTGAGCCTATTCATTACAAACATACAAACACAAAAATAGGTACAAATCTTTCCTCTTTATAATATTAGTATAGATATAGTTTGTACACTTAGTTTTATTTGTCCTATGACTCATTTACTTAGGTCGGAAAGTAGGTGCCTATTTACTACCTACTTACATTGTGTTAATGTAATCAGCACACTATGCACGAATTCGTTCACCACTTAAGGTGTCTGAACTTCGAGGCTGATGAGCTCACCGGGCATTACTTCGGCCTTAATTGGTGTCAGGGCTTTTTTTAAATAATACATAGGTAGGTACATTGTTGGCTACAGCTAGCATACCTATAGCTTGGTGTGTCAACAGGAAAGCCTCCAAAAATAAGGATTATCAATACATAGTATAAAACAAAGTCGCTTTCGCTGTATGTCCGTATGTATGCTTAGATCTTTAAAACTACGCAACGGATTTTGATGCGGTTTTTTTAATAGATAGAGTGATTCTTAAGGAAGGTTTGTATGTATAATACATGCATATTGCACCCGTGCGAAGCCGGGGCGGGTCGCTAGTATAATTATAAACGTAAGTTAGCATTAGACATGTCACCGAAACTTACTTAGCTTGAATAAACATAGACTTTATTCCTTATACAAAAATGGATTTTAAGTTTACTTTTACTATTTACGTAAAGAAAACCGCAAAAATCGCACGTTAAAGACACGACAACGAGTTACCAGGAAAAATGTGAAAATAAAATGTTTAGTGATCCATCTGCGTAGCTAGTTTTAATTTAGAAACAAAAATCTACAGTTGAAATTAGGAAGATAAATAATTACGTCATTAGATATAAGATGATCTATGCATTCTACAGTACAGTATGCCCGATGGAAATTGGGAAAACTCTGTATGCATCCACGTGAATAATTCAGTGGAATCACGAGAGCAGTGATCCTACTCGGAGAATAAGGAACTATTCCTAAGCCGCGATTGGGCCAGGGATGCAGGAGGCTTTGACTGGAACAGATGATCTGAGTAGAAAGTGGTGGTAGTTTCTTAACCCTTCAGCCACTCACATTTCCGTTGTCCCCCTGTTGCTATTAGCAAGCAATTACATTGTTTCGGCAGGTGCCATAGTCATCCATAGTTCCCAATTTACCAGTCCACAGCAACCCATCCATAGCCCTACTATGGCTATGCTAAAAGATAGGTTTTTTCCATTATTAACAGTTCTACACTAACCGGGGACTATCCTTGGGTGCATTTCCATAGTGCACACAGGGATAGTCGCCGGTTTGTGTATCCATTACATTTAGATTAAAGGTGTCTAAAGGGCCTATGCGCAGTTGGCTTCGGCCCCTCGTACGCCTCCCAAATGACCGGGACGCTATGGCCCCGTAAATGGAAAAAGATTGAGAATAGATCTGAAAATCAACCTTCGTTAATTTTAATTACTTAGGTTTTAAGGAAGGATTTATAATAGTCTGTAATATTGGAGGGTCCATGAGGTCGAAATCAATGTTAATTTAGACTATTGAGGGAGTCAAAGGTCAAAGCAGTTATTTCAACTGGACTAAAGGTACTTTCGAAAGTCAATAATGTATATAATTAAAGGATATTCATAGGGTATATTTGTATTCAAGCTGGTTCCCAAGTGTCCCATCCTCTTTTAAGTGTTATACCTGGGTGGGTAGGATGTACATTGCGACATTTAATCAAGAATATTTAGAAGAGAAACCTAGTCAAAGTCGATAAGATTTCCTTCTTGTTTTACCATAACAGTGCAAGGTAGATAATTATTAAAGAATAATTATAATATTCTCTTGTATATAATGTTCTCTTCAATTCAGACGTAGTTAGTTAAGTGTCTTCTATCCGGTACACGATGACCTTTGACTATTTACTTGATCATTATTTCAACGAATTAGTAAAATAAGAACTTACACATTATGTATACTTAGGTGGTTAAATGTTAACCAATGGGTATTGTTTTTTTAAGTAATGCTAGCAAGCGCGGTTTTGACTTAATGTATGTAGTAGTTTGTTTAATACAACAGGTAATGGTCAACCTCTTTATTTGAATAAATGGTCGTTAAATGCTTGACTGTCGCGAGTAAATACCAATGAAGCAGAAGGAAATCTACCTACAATACGTGAGTTTTAACGCTACGGTGTAAGTTGGCGTGTTTAAACATAATCAATACGACCCTAACTTGATAGAAGCATAAAGTAAGGTAGGTATATCAAACTGGTATTGTGGATTGTAGGTTACCCAATTTCAATGTTCGTGTTTCACATAACATCACGCCCGTCATCGTAGAAGTATTTATGTAGATAGGGAATTCAATATGGCCAGTGGTTATCTAAGTTTTCCTCTATCTATGGTAGTTGTAGGGTTCACCTAGGATCCTGTGTAGGTATCATATGTTTACTTTTTTCAGAAAATTGTTAGTTAGGAGTTTTTTTTTTAATTTTTGAACCTAATTTTCAACATCCATCTTAGTAATTTGTATTATAAACCTGTCTATACAAAAAGATGATGTATTATTGGTATCTATATGTTCCTGATAGATAACAAACTCATAGTTATGTAATATGCACTTGATACACTGACATAATTTTTGCATTGCTTTCATTAAGTATGATGATTAATTTATTTGCACCACAATTTGCACTAGGTATTATACGTTGATACTGGACTCATTCTGAGTCAGTTTGTAAAGGAAGTCATATTATCATCACCTATGTGTGTGTCATCAGAATCTATGGCCAAAATTTTAATTATGCCGACCATGCCATGAATGGAATTTGATAGTTTAGATGGAGAGGTGAACCTCTCTATAAATCTTGTTATTTTAGAAACAGCTGGGCTATTCTGTAAGATCTCAATTAGAACTCTCGAAATGAGCTCCATCACGGACCCCCATGTGATTTGGTTGTGAGAATAATTTCGACAAATAACGGGCGAGAATACGATTGAGCTCGCTTCGAGATTTCCTATTGACATCTTACAGAATCTGAAAGCTGAACCTAATCTTATGAGGCCGAATTTTTTGGGTCATTCTCGTATACCAGTCAAGTCGCCACTGGTGACAAATGGGTTTTACATTTAAATTTTTTTACCAGTTAATGGTATTGTTTGGGATTCCCTATTTCTTTTATATCTGGTTCTTCCCAGCGACCGCGAGTAAGAAAAATACTCATCATTTCCATCAGTGACTCAGTGACGTACCGACATCTATTTTAGATGTATATTTATACATAGAACGAAATAAAGATAAATATAGGTACAGCCGTACAAATAACACAATAGATATGTAATTTATTTTGTATAGCCTAGGAATAAACTATACTGTATCTGTATAAGTTCCATTTATATCACCTATTTGCTATAAAACTAAGCCATAGTACATATACAGAAAGTTACGGCTTATTTTTTACGATTCTTTGGAACTGATAAGATCACGATATTGGTTAATTTATAAAATACAGTGCGTCCAATGTCATTTAATCTTCACAGCTTCACATTGAATATATATTCAACGTTTGTGTGTTGGTCAGAATTATTTTCACTGCTGCGTGTAAGGACAGGGACACACTCGTCGATTACGGCATAACTAATCTCGCGGTGCGCTATTTTCAAATATTTTTCATTCTACTACCAACGCACGGATTTCTTTTCTTTGAGAGTGCGTGTGTACCTAATGTACCGATGTGGTAGATAGGTAACTTAGAATTAGAATAGGGAATTTTACAAATAAAATGTGTTACAAATACAATAAAAGGTTCTCAACCTTCACTTTTAAGGACTTATCAACGTAGGTATAAGTTTAGTGCATATTTATGTATGTAATGTAGCAATTGGAAAAATATGTTTTCCCTTCCTTTATTTAGTACCTACCTCATAAATAAAGGGAAAATATATTTTTCTATATATATAATTTACTAAATAAAGCCAATTTATAACGTTATCAAACTATGGTGCTAATTTGAGGTAATATTACTTCTAACTATTTATATTATGTATACCTAATGCATACATACATATATATACATTTAAATTATACACCTAGGTACATAATTATATGATTGCATATTACTTAAGCGTTATCGAATTGTTACGTTAGTGAAATAATTCTATGACCGTGACCGAGTTGAGCTGGTGGTATGAGCATATAGTAGGTATAACCATAACCTAGGTCAAGGTACCCATTTAAAAATATTTTTAAATTCATATTTCTTTTTTTACATTGGAGTCTCTGTGTGAAAATTTTAATGGTCCCTACATTAACTAAAATCATAGACATCCTTTTAGTAGTCAGGTAAAAATGTGTTTGTGTAACTAATCTTACAGGTAGATATTAGGTACCTACCTAAAATAGTTATAAAATTATCTAGGTACGGTCAGCATCAAAAGTTGATGAACACATTTTTGTTCATCCTGTTGTACATAATAGTGGACAATAAGTGATAGTGATCTTATCGTACAAAGCGATTTAATTTGCCATAATTTAAGCCTATTTAAATTAAATAAAGTCAAATAATTAGTACCGATACTTGAAGAAAAATATTTTATTAACTTACAAAACCGTATTAAACTGTCAAACACCAAGCGGTCACCGGTGACCGCAACCTATTGTTCTATAATTGTGTCTACAAAACCGGTACTCGACGAGTTAAGTTTGAAATGTATGACAACACAAGTTAAGTTCTACAGGTAGGTATTATATTTACCCAACTTTATGTAATGAGTCATTTTATGTTTAATTGCGTCACTCAAGGCGGGGAATCAAGTAAAAAATACTTCACGGTTGTTTTGTTAACAAGGTTTTTCACATGAAACATAAATATCTAAGTTCAGATGGGAACTTACTTTTTGCCTTGCTAACTAAGTACACACAAGCATTATAATTTATAACTGGTACCTACGTACTTACTTACTGATTTACTTATTTATTTATTTATTTATTTATTTATTTACACTTCTGTATATTATAACATACGATGGCGGACTTAATGCCGGGTGGCATTCTCTAACAGTCAACCATGGGGTGATGCAGAGATGTGCAACAGTAGGTGTAATAGGTATAATGTAAATTACATAAGATAAATTATCAATACTTATTACTAAATAACAATACTATAAAAGATAATATATAAATTGGAAATAACATAACTACTACTACTAATAACTACATATATACATATAATTATATATATTTATACATATATATTAAATAAAATCGCCAAAATGATAAATTAAGTACGTGATGCGTCTGTCTGTTCCCTCTGCAATAGTTCACGAACCTTAACTTTAAAACTAAGCTTAACTTATTTATTTATTTAGTTTTAAAAACCATTCTTCAAACTATAAGCACAATAAAACATAGAAAATTTATTCTTAATTAATTAAGTAAAATTAAGTTTAATTATTAATTACCTATAAAAATGTTATTAAATACAAAAAAAAATATTACCAAAGAAACTGGCAAGTTTTCTTCATTTTCCTCCGATTCTGGAGGTCGAGAACGACAAAATAAACGGCGGCAAAACGCGCCACAGCCACATCTATCGCCGAAACAAACCATATTTGATGTTCATTCAATTCACGACACTGCCACTACATTAATTTACACGATACTTCTTTTTTTTTTAAGTGAGACTGAGATTACAAATTTTACAGAATTCGCGCTACCGCATCCCACGAAAATATCCGCTCCAACTGTGCTCAATCGCAGTGCTACGATTAGCCGCGCGCCTAGCCAACTAGTAGATACCTACCGCAAAACTCGTCACAATATTGTAGTGCAGCGTAGGTATAGGTGTCTACTACGTTTGTTTGTTGTTTTTGTATATAGCGCTATTTCAGAATATACACCCGTTGTGTGACAGAGACGACAAACTATCACTATCTTTCCGCTTTAACGTCATAGTACCATAGACAATCGCGTTATTAAAGGTACGAGCGAGTAGTAAACATGCATGGTACAAGCAGTGGGCAGCGAAGCGATAATGATCGAGAAATGTCAAGCAAGTGACACTGCGGTTGTGGCGACTGCCATTTGTTTGTTTGTTATGATTTTATGATGGTGCATGATAAAGAGTGTCACTGGTTAAGCGTTAACTATCCTAATTTGTAATTTAGATCTTATCTAAATGAGCTATTAAATAGATCTTACTTTCCATGTTCCCGACGTTTTGATACCTATTCTTAATTAACATTAAAATAATTTAACATACCTACCTAAGTATCTATCGATTTTTCATTTGTTGTTGAAGTAAGAGGACCTTTATTTATATACCTACTTGTATCATTCTATTTCAATGACAAATAATGTCTTCCTTCCAATAGATGGATTAAATGGTGGTGATTCTTTGTCAAATGTCGAAGGTGAAACGTTTGTCAATGAAATATTATCAAATTAGCGTTAAAACTAACCTCAAAATCCAGCGCATCTTCAGCGAAGTCGTATTCTATGAAATCTCTCGGTATCGTACCCTCTTCAATACCATAATCCATTTTAACGCAACTGACACATATCATAACGTTTATCTTCAGTGACTACACTACTTAGGACACACTAAGAACCTATATCCTTAAACTGTCAACATACTTCCAGATAACTAGGTAAATGAAATCAATAGGTACGTATAACGCAGAACTAGGTACTATAGGATATGAATCAAACACAAAACGCGGATTATTAGAAATATTATATTATTACTATGTTCGTTGCAGTTCACTGCACTGCAGCTGCGCGTTGAAGACTAGCCTTAGTACGGATGACAACAAACAAAGTACACAGTCCCGACGTAGCAAATCACAGGGAAGTGGAAACAATGACTTTGTATTTCTCTTTCACTCTTGTTACGTAGGGTTTACGTGGAACACAGATGTGTACGCGAGATAACAAATAGGTATGAATGTAAATGATATCATCACGGGCAATTTTTATCAGGATGGTACAAAAAATATAAACAAATGATAAAACACTAAAAGTATCAAACTTTGTGTTTTACAGCAGTGCTCGAAACGAAATAACTAAAGATGTAGTTTTTATTAAAAACACGTTTTTTATTTTTGTTACGGAAATTGGTTTATGAATAAAACTTATTATTCTTAAACCAGTTAAGGACTAGATTAGGCTAGAGCAGACTAGACCTATCATTTAATTTAACGCTGCGCAGTTGTACTGCATATGTGACGCTGTATCGAATTTCTTCATTTTTTAGATTTTTTCGTGCTTCATTGAGCAAATAAGCCTGTCCGTCGGTTTAGGTAGCTATTTATAAACAAGTTAAATACGTCCATAATATTATTAGGTACTTAGATACTACTCAATGTAATAGTATGTAGATTCGTTAGGGAAAAAGCAGACGTTTCTAGTGGTGGTTGTGAAGGTTGTGAGAATTGTTAGATCAAGATACAAGTATCTATAAAGGTTTAATTAATAAAAAACAGACTGAGAATTCAAATACGTTTATTTGAAAAAATTTAATACGATAAGTAAATAACCTACTTACCACTATTGCTCAGCTTTCCTTTACACTTTATATGACTTGCTCCATTAATAAACTTTTTCCTTTTCTTGTTGTTGGCGGTGGAATCTACAATAAAATAAATATTATGAGATTTGTTTTTAACCAATACCTACTACGATAAAAATACTGCATTTTGAAATGGAATGAATTAAGTTTTTGAAATGAAATGAAATGAAATGAAACATTTATTTGTGAAATGAAACAGAAACAAAACAATGCGTGTTACAGATTTAAATAGTTCATGTTTTCAAGAAGGTCACACCATTAAAACAAATTTTTCAAGTTTTCGGATTTCTATAAAGATCTTAATTTAATTCTGTGTCTTATTTTTGCTAATTACAAGATTTTTTTTAAACACCGATTATTGAATCTTACTCGTAAAAACCTTATTTTTTATAAATAATTTCTGATCAGTTTACCAAGTACGGGTGATGTGCCCTCTGGTGCTGCAGTAGCTTGGCTCGTGTGACGTACTGTCGCGGACACTCGGAGCACATCGCCGGCTCACACACTCGCGTGCCGCCGTCCAGGGCTTCTACGCGGAACTTCGCTGCCCCTGTGCATATATACAATTATTTTAGAAAAAGTTGCCATAAAAGTGATCGCTAATATAACACCTATACAAAGAATAAATGTATCCGACAGTGACAGAACCCTTCTTCAATAGAGAGATGAAAACAAAATGATACAAATTAAATAGTTTCGATAAATGACACAAGTGCAACTCGAACAGAAGCATCGAAGCATCAGTTTCGTTAACTTTGTAGATAGGCCAACACAAGCGTGAGTGCATAAAATATAACATTCATAGATTTAAAATATTTTTTACCCAAAACAATTTTTTTTCCGAGTATCAAATAGAAAGGATATAAATGTTTTTTTTAAAACAAAATAAAATATTAGACCTGGATGATGTAGTTGTACATGTCGGTCCCGTTTAGCTGCAGTTCTGTATAATTTGGTGCAAGTCCCGCATGGGTAGTGACGCACGCGTCGCTCCAGTGGCACTCGAGCGGAGATCATGTTGTGTATCTTCCATAGGTGGTTCACCAGCATACCTCGACGCTAATGCATGAGAAAATATACCATAAAAAATACTATAAGGTATTAAAGTTAGTTCACATTGACAATGCAAAAAAAGGTAGAAAAAATAATCTAGATAATATTATTAAGCTATTGTTTGCGTAATATGTATAATACCGGATAACATTCTAACTGTTATTGGCTTTTGATAAGGAGGAGAAAAATAAATTAAGCCTAGTCGTGCAAGTTTCGATTTTGGTGTACATTTCAATGGTTCAGTGACCAAAGGTTCCCGAATTTTTACCTTGAAAGTATGTTGGCACTGTTCACACTTATATAGAGGCGGACCATCTGTTTTTGTTTCAGGAGCATCAGGTACATTATTATCACTTTCCTATAACAAAATTAAAAGGATAAGCTATATAATATACTATAAATGACTTTGTGGGATAACGATAAAGGTCTACTTACATTTTGAACCGGCTTTTCGTTTGAATGTTGACTCCATATATGCTCTTTAAATTGTTTCACGTTTCTGAACACCTTTTTACATTCACAAGTCATTACACGGGCTGGACATTTACTGTAAAAGAAAACCAGCTTAAAAATATTTCATAATATGCATTTGTTTAGGGAGAACCCTATTTCAATAGGAGAGCAAGTATTAGCTAGTAAGTTTAGAGGAAAGAAGATATCAGTTTCAACATTTTTATGGTTAATTAAAACAAAAATACTTTACCTTATATGTTGGCGCCTATTTCCTTTAACAATAATTTCATTGCAATACGCACAAGGAACAATAATTTGTTCTTCTGGTTGCGGTGATTTCTGAAAATTGATATAATGCAGTGATTGAAACGATTATGTAGGTACTAACACTTCAAAACTGAGGTTTCAAATGGAGTGTAACTTTTTTTAAAACGTAATAACAACAATGTAAATGCGTAAGTGTGGTTACAAACCTCTTTGGCAGTTCTTTGATTTTCTAATTTACTTGAAAAATCCAGATCACTAGTTAAATCATTGTCGTCTTTATACCCGATGGCGTAAGGATTAAAATCATTATCAGATCTGGTGTTACCAGATATATCGAGACTAGATATACGATCTGTATCAAACAGGTTAGTGGAGAAGTCTAATCCATTAGAATAGTTTTGGAAACTTTCGTCCGACGGTATCCTATTGTCTTCAGAGTTAATTGATATATTTATATTAATTTGTGGCGCATCATTCTTCGTATCCTGATTGGTTACTTTATTCCTGAAATAGACTTTCATATTAAAATATGCACAGCGGAAATTAACGGCAAAATATAATTAAAAATACTTTACCTTTTTTCTAATTTAACAGGGCAATGAACTAATATATGCCTTCTTAATCTGAAACAAATAAAACCTTATAATAAAATTATTGATGTATTGACTGTCTCGTTGGCCGAGTGGTCGCAAGTGCGACTGGCGGAAAAGGGGTCTCGGGTTCGATTCCCCGGGTCGCGCAAAGTAATACTGGGTTTTTAAAAAAATCTCAGTTGTAGCCCGGAGTCTAGTATATGGCAATAGGCTCACCCCCTATAACATGGCACTCATAACATATATAGTGAAAAGTGGGTGTCACTTATGTGTGCACCTCTGCCTACCCCTTCGGGGATAAAAGGCGTGATGTTATGTTATGTGATATATTGAGCACAATTAATAATTTGAAGAATTTATAAAATGCTTACGCAAACAGTCTAGAAAATGTTCTTGTACAATGTCGACAACGGTACCGTCGTCTTGCTAGCAAGGCCCCATCCTGTAATAAACAGCATTGATCGTTATAAAAAAGTAGTATGAAAACTCTTTATTGCATTACAGTTAACACCACTATTATTAAAACTTAATAAATATCTTGTAGCAAACATTATGTTAAATTAATTATTATGTAACGGCTTACGTAACAGTTACGTGAGTATATTTATTTATTTATTTATTTAAGACTTCATGCACACACTAATGTACAAGGTGGGCTTAATGCCTAGGGCATTCTCCTCCAGCCAGACCTTTGGGTGATGCAGAGACAAAAACAATGGTCGATGCAAGAAGCAAGCGTATTTAGGAATCGACAGAAATACATAAAAAAAGGATAGTATAGACTTACATAAAATAAATCCCTATATAAACTTACATGTATATGTCATAACAATAAACTTACACAAATATATTACATGTACTACTTAGACGTAACATAATTATACATAGTATATTGATAGTTACGATTCTGCCAACCTCCTCAAAAGTAGCTCCCGCACCTTCCGCTTGAATGACAAACGACTGGGCACCATCCTGATATCGGGAGGGAGCGCATTCCACAGAAGAATAGACTGAACAAAAAAGGAGGAATGAAGAAATTTAGTACGATGTGTTGGACATTGGAGGAGGCGATTATTAGAAGAGCGAAGATATTTGCTGTGGTTTGCGCATGTATATTGGAAGTGTAAGGACAGATAATGAGGCGAATGAGGCGAGTCAAGAACAGAGAAAAGAGTGGTTAGCGCCCTTAGTTCCCTGCGCTGTCGTATGGGCAACCACTTTAATTGCAATCGGTATGCAGAAACATGATCATATTTACGCAGGTTGAAAACGAATCGAATGCAGTTATTCAGAAGTCGGTCAAGTTTATTGAGGAGATCTGCATTCAGGTCATAATAACACACATCAGCATAATCTATAATAGGGAACAACAGGGCCTGTACCAGCATTGCCTTGGTGTCGGACGGAAGCAAGTTTTTAACGCGATAAAGAGCCCGCAGCGATCCAGTCACCTTTTTGCTTACACTAATGACTTGTGCATGCCAGTTAAGATTGCTGTCAATATGTAAACCGAGGTCCTTGACGTCACTAGTAAACGGAACGATCGCACCGTCGTAAAGGACAGCGGGTAGAGATGCAACGTCAACCTTACTCAGAGAACGAGAACTTCCTATCACAATCGCCTGACACTTCTTGGGGTTTACCGCAATGCCGAACCTTACCGACCAATTATTAATAGCGGATAAGTCGTTGTTAATTTTTGAGATGGCATCCGGCAATCTGTCATAGCTGGTCTGACAGTAAAGCTGCAAGTCATCCGCATATAGATGGTACGCACACCGAAGCTCGGAAGTGATGAGATTAATAAAGATGGAAAATAAGAGAGGTGACAGTATACCGCCTTGAGGAACGCCAGCCTTTAATTCGCGCCAGTTAGATGAATTATCACCGTGCTTGACCGCCTGCTGACGCTCCCGAAGATAAGAAGAGAACCACTCCAGTGACTCGCCAGAGACCATAAGGTGGGATAGGATAGCCAACAGGATGTCGTGACTGACCATATTGAAGGCATTCGAGAAGTCAACCAAAACCAGGACTGTGGCTTTAGCATCCTCAAAGCCGGTTCTAATATCGCCAGTCACTTTTAGGAGGGCGGAAGTAGTACTGTGGCCAGGTCTGAAACCAGACTGCAGAGGACTAATCAGTGAATTCCGATATATGTAATTAGAAAGCTGTTTATGAACACAGGCCTCGAGCACCTTGGACAGGAATGGGAGTATGGATATTGGACGAAATTGAGAGGGAAGGGTGGGAGCAGAGGCTTTAGGAAGCGGACGGACAAAGGCTCTACGCCAGAGGGAAGGGAAAGTACCGGAATAAAGGGAAAAGTTGATGACATGGGTTATTGCTGGTAGGAGGTGATCTAGAATGGTAACAATCATGTATCGAGAGATGTTGTCACAACCTACCGCTTTGGATTTGATTGAGAGGATGATCCTTCCGACCTCAGTCGAGTCAACTGGAGCGAAGCGGAAAGGATTAGTGATAGATGGACGCGTCAGACCAGAGATAAAGGCAAGAGTGTTACGTTTGACTAGAGGGTCCATGGTAGGTATTGTTGTGAAATGGTCATTAAGACCATCTAGACAAACTGTACAGGGAAGATCTGAATATTGCGTCTTACCGATACCTAGAGTTCCGAGGAATTTCCAGATATCGGCAGGAGAAGAAGATGAAATGTTTTCGAGAACATGGCGGCGTTTGGCGTCACGTACCATCTGGTTACACCTGTTTCTTGCAAACTTGAAGGTTGCCCAGTTTTCCTCAGTGCGATCCCTCCTATGTTTACGGAACGCCCGATCTCTGCGCCGCATGGCCATCCTAATCCCCTGGGTCATCCACGGTGCAGGGAGCCGCTTAACCTTTATTTTCCTGATTGGAGCGTGACGATCGTAAAGGTTAATAATGTTTGAGTTAAAGATTGCAACTTTATCATCAACCGCAATTGCATCTATCAAGGGCTCCCAGTCGATCGACGACGCATCCTCCCGCAATCTCGCCCCGTCCACCCGTCCAAAACAACGCCTATACAAGACCCTGGGCCTCACCTTGGGCGGTTTAAGGATATAGGATAGGAAAATCATGTCATGATGTGAGAAACCCGGAGCATCGTGCTGACCATGGCAGGACACAAGAGAGGGATTGGAGGTGAGGATAAGGTCAAGCCAGGAGTCATCGCCAACAGTACTGTGGTGAGTAGCGTTAAGAGGTAACACGTGTAGATTTGTCGACTCAATTATGTGAAGGAGTTTACGGGAACGTGGGGGTATATAGCCGAAAACAATAATTAATTTAGCATGTCTCACGAAAGTTTTAATATAAACATGCTCTGTGTTTAGATCATAGGCAATAATAATAAAAAAAGTTGTATGATAGACAAAAAGGAAATTTATTATTATTACCTTGTGGTAGGTTTCTGTATGAGATTTTAATTGTTTTTCCGACGGCAGTGTGCGTTGACATTCGTAACACCACCATGTTTTCTCAACTTGAGTATCTGCAAATGTAGAATGTTAGAGTTCAAATTTCGGATGTTTTTATGCATGCTAGATAGGGAAATATGACAACTAAGAATTATAAAATAGAAAGGCATTACACCAGTTTGATCGACTGGGAAACCAGAGCTGAACATCACATGTAAAGTTTGTCTAAGGATCTTTGGATAAAACTAGAGAGATAGTTTCATACATAGGTGTACAAGTAGTTCAAGTGGGTAGTAGCTACCTTTTCTAATTTCTTTAGTTGGGCCTATTAATCCATAATCATCAGCATATTGTTTGCTGTACCCAAGTTTAAGGGGTTTTCTTAGTGGTACTGTTTCTGTAGTTATTGCATACAGTTCTTGATTTTCCTCATACAGCCATACATTTGCAGAGTTTTGATCTCCTAATGGCAGTAATCCAATCCAGTTGGATTTATCTGAGGAATAAAAAATACTTATATAAAAACCTTATTTACATAATACATATTATATGGGCTGCCTCGTTGGCAGAGTGGTCGCATGTGCGACTGCTACAAGGTTTTTTTAAAACACCTCAGCAGTAGTACGGAGTCTGGAATTGTGCCCGTTATATGGCAATAGGCTCACCCCCTATTACATTGGAGTCATAACATAATTAGTGAAAAGTGGGTGTTACATTGTACAGTGGTTTTAAGTGCCGTGATTTTATGTCATGTCATATTATATGGGCAAATATGGTACTTATAGAAGAATTAGACAAACATGTAAATGATCAGTATTTTTACATAACAATACTGATCATTTACATGTTTGTCTAGCCCAGCCTAGCTAGGCTATATTGGCTGATGATGATTTTGCATTGATACTATCCATAGCATAGCAAAGATGCAATTATTGTTTTGTAACAAAAAATATTTTACCAAAATAATATTTTATTATGCGTATCCATAAACAGTACCTTTATCAGCTGTGTCAATGTGTATGATATTCCCATCCGTGTCCCTTACTAGAAATAAAGGTATTTTGTTCGAAGTAGCATTCAGCACTAGTTCCACAGCTTCTGATTGAGATATTGTGTTTCTTATTCCTGAAACAATGAGCTTTTATTATTAGATAACATTAATGTGATTCTGAACTATTGTTTTAGTACTTGGTAATTGGTGTTTTTAATCAATGACAAGTGTCAAATATTTAAAGTTATTCCTCGGATAAAATTTAACTGAGCATTGAAAAATCGACCCTAAGTCAAACTTGCTTTGTCACGTATTTCAAAGAATTAATAACTGAACTGAATAGTGTTGTAAAACGAATGGAATTTGTGCTTCTAAACATTCGTTTTCCAAATAATTAAATATCAATATAATTTATTTTACCTTGAACAGGGCCAAACCGTGCACATGCAGGTAAACTTCTTCGTGTAGAGATTATATGGCGTCTTTGTACTTGAAGTATCGGCGGTAATACAGCATAGGCGCGCGGAGGTACAACGCGGTCAAATATGTGAACTGTGGATAGTTAAAATAACAATATCAAAGTATAATATAGCCCTTTTTATTATAAATTTAGAAAGAAATAAATAAGGAATAACAATATACTACAATGTTGACTATTAAGACACACTGGGTAAATTATACTTAGGAATTTAATATTATCATTAACCACTAAAAATCCACGATTACGAAAAATTCACGAAATTTGTTCATACAAAAGTAGTCTCTATGCATTTGAAATAAGGTCTATAATGGAGTGACTGGAGAGTGGCCACTGCCACTGGTGACAGAGTTAAAATGCAATAAATCATAGTTATAGTGTCTATTAAAACATTTTTCACTTACCATAGTTATTAACAGTTTTATGTACTTTGTCATCAAAGCCACATACTTTATTATTAAGTTCTGTTTCTTCAATACTTAGATCCAGTGGTGTTCCTTGCAAGTCTGGTAGATGATCTGTTTTTAAAGCCAAGTTACTACTGCCTCCCAATGCTGAAGCAATCTGAAGTTGATCATCACAGATTGGTAAAAGATTCTGTGCACCTTTATAAGTTCTATCAATAACACCCATTATTTTAGCTTGTCCTTGACTAGAATCTGAAATAATATAAAAAAATATTTAAGAAAATGAATCACTTGTAATCAAAAAATTGACAAAGATAATCCTACTATAGTACAATGTCCAAAAGGAATGCAGGAGGTCATCATTGTCTGTCGACCTAGCCCTGCCCACTAAACTGATTTTAAACTTCAATTAAAAATACACTTATATTTTTATAAATTCACTAGCCTGAGACTCCGTCCGCATAGAATAATGACTTCTGATAGAATTCATTAGAATCAATTCAGTGTCCAAGTAAGATATATAGTTAAATGATTAATCGTGGTTTCGAAAAATAAATAATCTCACAGGAATCTTACCAGTACAGTGCCCGATCACGTAAGGTTTGAGTAATAAAAACTATTCTATCGACTATTGTTGTATGGAATCTCTCTAAAATAAGTTCAGTGGTTAAGATATAGAGTCCTGGGGCATTAACGCATAGTTCCCGTTCCCGTGGGGTTTCTGTGATAAAAACTATCATACATTGTTACCCAGGTCTCAAATTATTGTTTTACCGAATATAATTCAAAAAGATTAGATGATTCTAGATTTAATGGCTAAGAAGATTTATACCAACTCTCATTCCCTATCTTCTTATTATCCCTTTAGGGGTGGAATTTATCAAAATCCTTTCTTAGGAGATACCTATGTCATAGTAACTTTATGCATCAAAGTCTTCAGCCCGATCGGTTTAAAACTGACCAAGTATCATACATATTTCCATCCCCTATTTTACCCATTTGAGGGTGGAAATGTTCAAAATCCTTTCTTAAGGGACGTTTACATTATAATATCTACCTGTACGCCGAATTTTAACCCGATCTGTGTAAAACATAAAAGTTTCATACAAACTTTCATCCCCTATTTTACCTCATTTGGGAGAGGAAATGATCATAATCCTTTCTTAGCAGATGCCCTATGTAAGCTGCTAGCAGAAGTTAATACTCTATATGTCAGGTTTGATCAAACTAAGTTTAAGAAATTGGAAATCAAATGTTTTGCCTTTTTTTTTTTTTTTTTTTTTTTTTTTTTTTTAAGGGGGGAAAATCATCGAATGACTGCCCCCGCCTGGGTGAGGCGGGAGGGAGTGTCAGACTCTTACTGACTAAAAACCACCCCGTTCCTTCTCCTGCACGTCGAGCCGGAGCCCCGGTTACCCGTTAGGTTCTCCGCGACTCCGAATCGGCATCGGCCCTATTGGGCCCCATCTGTGGTGGTCTGATGGCTCTTTGAGGCGCGCGCGGAACGCGACGCGCCGTACGCTCGGGTCTGTTTCTGGTCGGACGGGGAGCCACCCATGCTCGCCGTCCGCAGGCCCGCGCTTACGGTGGCCGGAGATCGTCCCGCGATCCCCGACGCCCGGTGTGTCCTTCGCGATGGCTGGGTTGCGAGGAGGCAGCGCTTCGCTGCCTCACGCGTCCCGCCTCCTCCTTAGCTAGCATGACTGCTTCGCAAAAGGAGGAGACGGCATCCCAATTCCCCTCGCTCCGCATCATGGCCTGCACTAGGCCCGGACGCGAGAGGTCGCCATCGCCGATCACTTCCCTGAGGACACGGCGGTGCTCAGCCCACGAAGGGCATTCTCCCACCGTGTGTTCCACAAATGTTTTGCCTATGGTATCACCATCGGCAAAACATTAGATGATAGATCTATGATGACACTGAAAACTTGTTTAAGTTATTGTTTACAATCAACAATTCAACATAAACTACTTTACATTAAGACTACTGTACAATGTGTGTTTTTTGATGTGTAAAAACTAAGAAAGAAAGATTACCAATAAGTACTTCCAGTTGATCTGATGTTTCTTTCTGCTTTAAAGGAATTGGTAGCAGGTACTGTTTGTGACCATATTCTAAGCTCTGAAACAAATTGTTTACCAATATATTAATGAGCTATAGTTAGTTCGATATTTATTTATTATGTAATTGAGTACACTCACATTATCTAATAAATGCAAAGGTAGTACTTGTTCATTTAAACTTAAATTAATACTGGAATCCATTTGAAGCAAATACAGGTGTGTCGGTCCACTAGGGACTTGAGGGTCTGCGTTGTTCATCTCTGCCATCACTTAGAAAATAACTTAAAAGTACTTGTTGATAACTTTGTCACACAAAGTGTAACATCTACCTAAAAGAAAACAGAATACAGAATTGGTTATTAACTTTCAAGACATAGTACAACACAATTAAATTGCAACTTTACAGCCATATGTATACTATGTTTCTCTTTATTCATTTTCAGTATCTTATTTCAATTTATTTAAAGCACAAAACTTACGTAGAATACTTACCTGCTACTTATTTAAATGACAATTTACATAATAACACTTTAAATTAAACGTATATTATACTGCATAATAAAACAATTGAATAATGATTTTCATTTTGTTTTTACAAATTATAATAAAATTTACATTTTGTATTAAATTTACGGCGAATACCGTATTGTCGTATTTGTTTCCGTCTTATAAACATCAATCAAGTGCCTATCAAGTATATGTACGAAGTGATTTTAGTGTCAACTGTCAAACTGCCGAGTGTCATCTGTCTGTGATCTGACCAATGATGAAAGAAATAAGAGGATATGAACAGTTGTGTACGTACTTAGCGTGCCAATATGGAATCAAACATAGTATAGACTCCGCCCTCCTCTCATTAGATAGTGTAGTGACAAAACTAGTTGCCCTCAATATATTTAAAATTGTAAATAAGACTCCTGTCCTTCGAGCCGGAGCCCCGGCAACTCGTTAAATCCTCCGCGGCTCTATTTAACCCTGCACTAGTTTTATATTATTTATTTACAAGTAGTCAAATCTACAATAAAATATACAAAACCGTCTGATGTATTATGCAGTTTCATCAATAATCTATGATAAGACTTAATATTTTACATTTTAGAGATCATTGGAAAACCAGAAAATACATTTTTCTGTAAATTAATATGATTTACTTGTGGACTTATTTACGGGATGATTTACAGCCTTATAAGGTTACTTCTAAGCAAAATACTCTAGACTCCTAATTTTTTCTGATAACCTCCAATGAGTTTGACGTTTTACGTACAATAGAAACACGGGAAATAAAATGGCGTACCGGCACGGAGGTTGACCCAATGTGACGTAACACTCAAAATGTTACTATTTCAAGTACCTAACTACTAAAATCTATGTAACTCTTTCTACAATATTATAAAAGAGATCAGAATATATATTTTGTCTTTTCGATTCATAATAGCATCGTATTTCTATAACTACGTTGTTTGTGTAGTCCATTAGGGCAAGTCTGCTTTTATTTTTTGGTCAGTGGACTTGACCATAGATGAATAATAGGGGATACGCCGTAAGTTGCATATACAATTTTGGTTATACAAATATCATGCAAATATGAACCTTATCAACAAAAATATATCTGACTCATTCTTACACGTTGTAAATTTCATATGTAAAAAGAGATAAGCATAAATCATAACCTTCAATTTCTGATAACATTTTTCATATGACGTCACCAAGCTCCGCCTTGAGGCCCATTGCGCCATTTAAGAGAGACACATTCCGCTCATGTTTTTGGTAGATCATCTGTCAACAATACGGTTTTTGGAAATATTTTCGGTGTTACAGTGAAGAGTTTTGATATTAATGGAGTTTTTTGCCAATAAGAAAAATGAATCTGAACTGGGAGCTTACTCTTGAATCCAATTCCGATCGATCGACATTGGTATTGTGAAATTTCGTACTCTTGAGTTACAACACTAGCGCCAATTGCATCCGTATTGCGCGGATATTGAATAAACTAAATGGTATTGAGTTTGACTTTATATTCCGTACTCTGAATGCTATTTTAACAGCTACCATAGGAATTATATAGTGTTGACATTGAATAATTATTGAGATTTTATTGGATTTAAATTGCATTGACATTGAGATTGGTATCAAGAGTAAGCACCCTGAACTATCATGAGCAAGTGTTGCATCAAGGAATGTAATTCACGTAAAAATGAGAAGGATTATCATGTTTTAGGTTAGTTCTAATTTTCTTTGTTATTTATGTATACTTTTTGTGTAAATTATGATATAAGTCTTTATTATCGCTTCTAATTCGGGTTTTCTGCTATTATGTATACATTCAAAAGACTGTTATCACATAAATTGAACAAGTAAACATTTTAATTGTTTACATTTTATTCATAGTGCTGATCTTCGTTTTGTAAAGTTATCGATAGCAGTATTAGCAATAATATTGACATGGCCGTCTGGTTAACGAACATTTACGGTATATTTAACTGTATTAAATGAAAATATTGATATAGAGCTTTTTATTTAGGATGTTTGAGAGTTGAGTGACGTCCTAAAATGCACAACTACAATAGTTTTATTTGTTTTCGTATACTTTATTTAACACGTTAAACGCCATGGCAGTCACCGGTGACCGACATTAGCGGAGGATTTGCCTTCAACAGTTTTTTATTGGCAGCCAATGCCTTAAACTGTCAAACACCAAGCGGTCACCGGTGACCGCAACCTATTGTTCTATAATTGTGTCTGCAAAACCGGTACTCGACGAGTTAATTTGCGCATAATGATGATTAAATTTGGTTTTAGATTTCCTAAAAATGAAATCCTAAAGGACTTGTGGATGGAAAAATAGGCAAGGAGAATATAAAACATGCATCAGTATTAACCATAGCTTCAACCATATTGAAGAAGATTACACAATCATCTTCAACACGAACAGAACATTGAATAATTTTCGACTTCACGATAACGTAATTCCTACTCTTTTTGAAAATTGCCTAATTTTCAATGGAATGAACTTGAGAGTTCTCATAAACTGTTATTCTTACATATTTAGATATAAGATATAAATATTACGGAAAAAATCAGGAATAAAATGTGTCAAAAATAATCTTTTTTAAAAAAATATATTGTTTCGCCATGAATATAGTATTATTATCAGCAAAACGTTTCACATTTATTCATTACAGGAAAACGCACGGTGTTCGATGGTATAACTGTTTGATTTTTAGTTATCTGACTTTATATAGGTATATGAAATAAGTTCAGTCTACGTGATTTTGGAGCAACGTTCCAACCAACATTCTCTGAAAGGTTCAGGTTTTTTCAATACAGTACTCGCTTAAGAATCTTATAAAGTTATCGTTGAACGAAGGTTTCAATGGTATTGGTATTTATAATATTAGTGAGATTATGATTATGTGAATGCTTTACCATCAGTTGTACTCTTTCAGCAATTCTTTTATTTCTTTGTTTCGAATTGAACTAAATGATAAGTTATTATTTTATATTTACATTGAATTGCCTATGTCGATATGTTATGTCGACGTAGGTACAACACTATTGTGGGCGGAGATCCGCCATTTTTGAGGTATTTTTGGCTTCAAATCACGTGACCATATTTCAAATCCCCTATTATACATCAATGGACTTGACTGTCAGTAGTGTCAAAGCAAGTAACCATAGACTATACATAAAAGGTTCGCTTGCTTTGCAAAATCTTTATTCTATTAAAATAAATTATGTGTTATTAGACAAATCACACATATAGTTATCATTTTATTTACGACCTAAACGACCACTTCAAGTTACGTAATGCAGTTAAAAAATTGTAGTCATAATTATGTCGTATCGTAATTATTATGACTACAATTTTTATTATTAGGCATTAGCCTATTAGCATTTAATATATCTGATACATACTACTTTGTCAAGAAAGTACCGGGAAAAGATCAATAATAGGTACACCAAAAGTCTGTAAAAACGTCGTGGTGGCCCGGAGGTTTAAGATGCCCACTTCTCATGCATGAGGGTGCGGGTTCGAAACCTACCAACGGCAAGTACCTATCAATGTGACTTTTTCCGAGTTATATGTACTTTCTAAGATTATTTAGACACCACTGACAAACGGTGAAGAAAAAACATCGTGAGGAAACCTGGACTTATAATTTCTAATTATAAGTTTGAAATCGCCAACCCGCATTGAGCAAGCGTGGTGATTAACGCTCTAACCTTCTCCGTGTGAGAAGAGGCTTTGCTCAGCAGTGGGCATTTATAGGCTGTTGATGATGAAAGTCTGTTATTCATCCAAATTTATTTTATCACCTTCAAACTATGCTCCTTTAGAAACGATAGGTACCTACACTTGCGCCGACGAATAAATAATCCATTCATCGAAACATTTTTTAAACGCTGCTAACGGAATTGAGTTCAGTTCTCGCCGCGAATTCACCTTTATGTTTTCTATCGATCGAAAATGGGTGCCACGAAGTGTTATTTTGAGTTTAGGAAAAAGAAAAAAGTCAGCAGAAGCCATATCTGGTAATATGGTGGTTGCTGGATGGTATTTGTTGACATTGTTGAGTGTTTGGTCAAAAATTCGTTCACAATGATATGCCTTGTGTATATTCAAATCATATTTTATAAGTATTTACCGTTAGACCTTCCGGTAAGAATTCAGAGTGCACAACACCGGGATAGTCAAAGAAAACAGTCAACATAACTTTGACTTTTGATCGACTTTGGCGTGGTTTTTCGGTTTCGGATCAATTGGAAGGCGCCAATCCGAAGCTTGTTGACTAGTTTGCTTGTCAATCTCGTAAACTCACGTCTCATCACCAGTAACAATGCGTTTCATGAATGTTGGTTCCGAACTGGACTCGTTCTAGCATGTCCTCAGTGACTTTCTTACGATTGAGTTTTTGGAGAAAATTCAGATCTTTTTGGGACTAGCCGAGCAGCAACATGTTTCATACCCAATGGTACGGATCGACTCATCAGATACATAAAGTTGCGGCTATCTCTCTCAGAGTTGAATGGGATTTTTAGTCACTATTTCCTTCACTTTTACGATGTTAACTTCAGTTGCAGACGTTGACAGCCTACCAGAGCGAGGCAAATCTTCCATTACCTACATCTCGACCGCTTTTGAATGGTTTAAACCACTCATAAGCACGAGTTTTTGATAAAGTCGATTCACCGTAAGCCTTCTGTAACATTTTCAATGACTCCGAACACGAAATTCCATTGGCGATGCAAAATTTAAGACAAAACTCTTTGTTCGATATTTTTGTCCATTATGAAATTCGCAATATACCTACACTACCTATTTAAGATATTACTAAAACCAGCACTGTTTAATATAAATAACAGATGCTACTCAAACTACGCGCCAAAATGGAAAACAGTTGTGCCGATCTGACAACTACAAAAAAAAAACAAAAATTTGAATTTGGAACCATATACAATTCATCCATTCCCGATACTTTTTTGAGTGAATGTAGGTACGTTACGTTCCAGCACTGCGTAAGTAATTACGTATTTCGTATTTAGGTATTCGAGAGACCCACACACTGACACAGTAGGTACCTACCTACCTATTTGTTAGGGTCTAACATTCTGGCAGTTACACAAAATTATTACGTTCATTATTTTAAAACTGAACAGTTTTATTTATTTTTATTTGCATTTGTTAGTTTTTATCATCATCAGTTTGGATGGTTTAATATAACGTGATCATTCAGTGCTCAGCTTGTAGACAGGCTCACGGGCCCCCAACTCCAACTGACTAAAAATCGATGTCTATGACAAATTAGTGTAGATACTTATATAAAAACCTTGTCAAGATTAGCTATCACCTAGTATAATAAATTATATCCAGTCGAACCCTGGATATCATAAAGATCTTTAGATAAGTGCCTTATATTAGTTACTTACTAAGTATGCTGTAGAAGTGAAGATAGGAAACATAAGCATTATTTTAATTATTAGGTAAGTATACCATGTTGTTATAATAATATTTTATCAATTGCTTAGCTATTTTAATTTACACGTTAACTGTAGCTGCTATCCAACTCGTGTACTTTGAAATACGAGCATTGACACCAGGGTAAAATGAATGAGCACATTCAAAACCCCAAGACGTTACACCAACGATGACATCTTTATTATGAGCGAGGGGACCACCAGAGTCTCCCTGGCAGGCGTCCTTGCCTCCGACGTCCAAAATACCGGCGCACAGCATGTTGTCGGTTATGTCAGGCCAGCCCCCGTAGCCTGGTAGGGTCTTCAGATATGCGTAGCGCTCAGCACACAGCTTTTGGTTTATAATTTTCACATCAACATGCATGAGTTGCTGAGATGATGGGCCGTCAGACTGGAAAATGGAATTTTTTGACAATAATTATTTAAGTACCCCATTGGTATAATTCAAACTTTGATGTAAAATAAAATAAATAAATGTTCAATAACTGCCTACCCAAAGAGTGCCCCAACCAATATGTGTGACGACGGTACCGTCGGCGAGATTATAATTGGCACCAGCTATTCGGGCTGGCTGGACATTGTTTGAGTACACGGCAGCGTTGTTAAGACGTACGATAGCCACGTCATTTTCTAAGACGGGATTTCGGGTTTCACCGAATTGGTGTAGGATTAACGAAATCAAAATTGTCAGGTAACTTATGTCTATTCGCTGTTATAATTTATGGGATACTAGCGACTCGCTCCGGCTTCGCACGGGTGCAATACGCATGTATTGTACATATAAACCTTCCTTAAGACTCCCACTCTATCTATTAAAAAAACGCATCAAAATCCGTTGCCTACTTTTAAGGATCTAACATACAGCATACATGGGACAGACAGACGGCGGATAGCGACTTTGTAGGTAGTGATAGTTAGTTTACTCACTAAAAGCAGTGAGCTGCAGATAGTACAGCTGTAGGGGTCAGCAGGGAACCTCCACAAGCTTGTGACCAAAACATACCGAAAACTCGGAACTGCATGTTTGACATGTAAGGGTAAGTCTGGATGTTAGTAGGAGAGCCACCAACGATACGATTCGGATTCTTGGGCACCGCTGGAATAGGATTGGTATATAGGTAATATAGTAGGTAGGTATATACAAAGGTTCAAAAGCTAGCAATATTCACTAGGAATCTAAACAAGTTAACTGAAAAATAAAATTTCTAACCGACCTTACTACAAGTTAAACCGAATTATATTTTAGAAACTTAAAATATCATACCTAAGGCTGAGCCTAGAAGAGCGCCAAAAATAATAATCACATTCATTTTCAAACACAAATTAATAACTGTTAAATGCGGTTTAATCATTGAAATCAACGTAGGTACGTGTATTTATAGCAATTTTTTTATCTTTATTAGTGCTGTTTATAGTGCTAAGATAATGATAAATTCGCAAGACAATAACAAAATCCTTGAATCCCTCCCATCAATTCTAAAGTTTAGGACATAATATGTATACAGTATTTAATGTTAATAGTAATAGATATAAATTTAGACAGCACACTTGGCGCGGTGACTTTTTTTAATGGAGCCACTCTTTGTGTGATTTACAAATTGTTGTTTCGAGTTTGGGTGTCATGTCTATGTGAAATTGAATGTTTGTAAACGCACTCACGATATAGGAGTCAATCCTAGTGCGGGGCAACGTTTTTTTTTAATATCTTTGCCCTGAGTACCTTATATACTACTATCTACATATATAGATAGTAGTAAGTACTTTGACACTACTTTTGTAGACTGACTTATAAAAAAAAATAAAAATAACTGATTACTTAAAATCTTATTTAATAATTAAGTAAGTATTCAGTCAAAGATCTATAATTTTGACATAAATAAATAAACTACAGTTCATTCAGCATCCGTTCAGCATCCTTCATTCTTTACCAATCAATATTTTAATTTATGCGTTGGCTGAAATCCAGCTTGCGTATCTTGAAACACGAGCATTGACACCAGGATAGAATGGATCAGCGCATTCGTAACCCCAAGAGATTACACCAACGATGACGTTGTTGTGAGCGAGGGGGCCACCAGAGTCTCCCTGGCAAGCGTCCTTGCCTCCGACGTCCAAGATACCGGCGCACAGCATGTTGTCGGTGATGTCAGGCCAGTTTTCGAAGTTAGGCTGAGTCTTCAGATAGGCGTAGCGGTCGGCACATAGTTTCTGGTTGATGATGTTAACGTCAACGTGCATGAGTTGCTGAGAGGATGGGCCGTCGGACTGAAAAATATAATTATCCATAATATTCAGTGGATATCTCTGTGACCATAACTTAATATGTGTAACATAATATATAATTGTTAAATATGTAACTTTTAGATTATGTTTTGTAACTAATCCGAAAACGAATAAACAACGAAAAATTACCCAAATTGCGCCCCATCCGATATGCGTCACGGCGGTGCCATCGGCGAGGTTATAATTAGCACCAGCGATGCTGACAGGCTGGACAGTGCTGGAATACACAGCAGGGTTGTTGAGGCGTACAATGGCGACATCATGCTCCAAAGTGGCACGATCATACTGAGGGTGCAACACTAGCTGGCTGACCTGGTGAGGACGGCCGCCGCTGCTTGCCCACGTGCTTCCGAGGACTACACGCCATTGCGAGGCCTGGTCACCACTGAACATAAACGGATAGCAATTAAAATTGTTTGTTGACAATGACAAATACCTACAAATTCAACGGTTTTTACGTGGTTTCACTCACTAGAAGCAGTGTGCTGCAGAGAGCACGGAGTATGGGGTTAGTAAGGATCCTCCACATGTTTGGGACCAGAAGAAACCCCACCAAAGGAACTGCATGTTGGACATGTAAGGGTAATTCTGGATTGTAGTAGCCGAGCCACCAACTATGCGGCTCGGGTTGTTGGGCGCAGCTGGAACAGAACAATACGATTATAAAAATTCTAATCGATCTCTACATCAAATAACAATCATTATGATAAAATATTTTAAAGTAACTTACCAAGGGCTGAGCCCAGAAGAGCTAAAAGAACAAGAACACGCATGTTGAAGATGCAAGAAAAAGAAGAACTGTGAATATGATATTTTAAATTTACCTTTAAATATCACAATCTTTATCTTTATCAAATCCAACTGGTATTATAAGATAAAGATAATTTTGTGAAATCAATCAAATTGCTACGTTAACGTACCTATATAGTAGTAAACCTCACTAATTATTATTGTGGTATTTTCCCAATTTTAATGATTGTAATGGAAACTAATTACATTCTTTTTTGAAGTAAGTACCTATTCAGAATTTTTCCTAACTATTGATGTATATATAGATTGCTTGTATCTTCAGGTAACTAGGTACTTATCCCACCTAGAAATCTGCCGTACAGTACCTACCTAAGCATAACTACGAAAGTGGGAGATCCATCCACATGGCGATTTCTTGCACTAACCTCCGAGTTTAGGCAGACAAACTTATAGTATTTTTTCTAAAGCTGGATTTATGATAAAATCAAAACTGCACAGTAATGGGAAACTTATCGCTGTGATAAAATAAAGAAAATATAATTATATTTTTATGTATGTCTTTACCATTCACGGGACCACAGGGTCCCGGTCATTTGGGAGGCGTACGAGGGGCCGAAGCCAACTGCGCAGAGGCCCTTTAGACAACTTTAATCTAAATGTAATGGAGACACAAACCGGCGACTATCCCTGTATGCACTATGGAAATGCACCCAAGGACATTCCCCGGTTAGTGTAGGACTAATGTGAATAATGGAAGAAAAAAGGTAGGGCTATGGATGGGTTGCTGTGGACTGGTAAATTGGGAACTATGGATGACTATGGCACCTGCCGAAACAATGTAATTTTTACACGTAAAAATGGCAGGCGGTGACTCGCCAACTCACCGACCGGGCCCCGGGAATGGTTGCTAGATATAGCAACATAGGGGCAACGAGAATGTGAGTGGCTGAAGGGTTAAGAAACTATCACCGCTTTCTACTCAGATCATCTGCTCCAGCCGAAGCCTCCTGCATCCCTGGCCCACTCGCGACTTACGAATAGTTTCTTACCCTCCGAGCAGGATCACTGCTCTCGCGACTCCACTCTGGACGGCCAATGAAGGCAAGCCACAGGTGGGAGACCTGTTCCTTGTCATTGTTCACTCCAGCCAGCCAATTAAGGCAAGCCGGAGAAGAAGGAACGGTGACTTCTCCCTGGAGCACTCGGGATGATGGTAGCCCGCGGGATCGCTAATGCCCGTCACCTCGCCTCAAGGTGCCCTGCGGGCTAAAAAAAATAATAATAATAAGCTAATAATTATATTAATTATTAGCTTCTGCCAGCGACTTTTTTTCAAGGGGGAAAATTATCGAATGACTACTCCTGCCTGAGAAGTCATTCGAGGGTGATTCCGATTCCCGGGGGAGGCGGGAGGGAGTGTCAGACTCTTACTGGCTAAAAACCAACCCGTTCCTGCCCCTTGAACCGGAGCCCCGGCAACCTGTTAAGTCCTCCGTGGCTCCGTTCTGCCAGCGGCGACACGCCAGCGTTCTCGTTTCAATCTTACTATGTTACCTGATGTCACTTAATGGTAATAATAGGAATGCGAACGTGTGTGTGTATACATATTTGTTACTCAATGACGGTAAAATGCCTAAAGGGGTCGAGATGAATTTGGATCTGGGATAGATTGTAAATAAAATAAAATAATTTTATTTCGTCAACTATTTTGTACATACAGACAAAGTTTTAAGAACAACCTTTTAAGTAAGAACATGATTATGGTAGGCGATCTTGTATGCTAATGACATTAACTAAACATACTTACCTAAGGTCTGGGGGCTTACTCTTGAATCCAATTCCGATCGATTGACATTGACATTGTGAAATTTCGTACTCTTGAGTCGCAACACTAGCGCCCATTGCATCCGTATTGCATGGATATTGAATGAACTAAATGGTATTGAGTTTGGCGTTATATTCCGTACTCTGAATGCTATTTCAACAGCTATGGTAGGGGTTGTATAGTTTTAACATTGAATAATTATTGAGATTTTATTGGATTGAAATTGCATTGACATTGAGATTGGTTTCAAGAGTAAGCACCCTGGTCTGGAATAACACGAAGAACTGAACTGAATACTGAAGCTTTAAAATTAAAGTTATGTGTCGACTTCAAGAAAAGAAGGAGGTTCTCAATCTCAATTCGACCTGTATGTACATAGGTATGTATGTGCGGGATTATCTCGCGATTGGTTAAACCGATTTTGATGCGCTTTTCAGAAAAATGTATGTTACACTTAGGAGAAGGTTTAAGTATAGTCATTAGAGACATAATTAAAGAACAATAGGTTGCGGTCACCGGGGACCGCTCGGTGTTTGACTAACCGACTTCCAAAAAATAAAATACTGCGTTTAAAAAAACAAACTTCAAAAACCAAAAACAAACAAAAAGTAAAAACTAAAACGCAAAAAATAACCACCCACTGATAGGTGAGAAGTCGGTGCCACAAGTTTTATACAAAATTATTCATTAAAACCTTAATAAATACCTACCATTATTAAGCTGTTTACAATTTTATATGAACTAGCTGTGCCCGCGACTTCGTTCGCGTAGAATAGTGACTATGGGCAGCGTTTTTTTTTTTAAATATATACTTATTTTTATTTTAGATTTGGATCATAATCACAGTCATTTTGGGTAGCTAAAAAACCTACTTTACTGTTATGCTTCTCTAT